TAATGTTTACTCAAAATTAAAGGAAACGTTAGTCATATTTACTGGCTTTTTTCTAGCTGTAGATCCAGCTCCAGAGTTATGAATCTCACCATGGCTTCTGAAATGAAAGAGGCTGTTATTATCCTCACCACCAAAATCCTCCCTGCTAAGAAGCTCTTAGGAGAGCCTGACAGCGACACACGAACCACACCCAGCACACTCTCTCTCTCTCTCTCTCTCTCTCTCTCTCTCTCACATACACACACACACACACACACACACACAGTATTTAATAAACTGGAGCAGGGAGATGAAAGAGCTCTCATGTTTTTAGGCCTTCAAGCCCCAGTCACACAGAACCACAGTGTCCTCAGCAGTCAGTCATCACCCCTTACATATTAGCCCCCCCCCCACTCTCTCTCTCTCTCTCTCTCTCTCTCTCTCTCTCTCTGCATTTATTATTCATTTTGTGTGCCTGTTTAAAGGTTCTGCCGTATCCAAGGCAACACGCTGAGGTAATTTCACAGTCTGTGTTTGGAAGGCAGAATATAATCTGATTGTAGAATTCCAGTGTTCAGTGTTTGCCTCAGAATATTCCACACGGCAGGTCAAAGAGAGTTCAAGGCAGTCTGCCTCCTCAGGCGTGACCCGATAAATTACACACCACCGCCACGCAGTGATCCAAACAGGGTAAACTGTGTGTGTGTTTGATTGTGAGTATGTGTTTAGTGAAACAGTTTAAAGCAGTTTAAAACAGACTTTTGGAGAACGAATACACAACACAATCACATATTCAAAACACATTCAAGCAGGGGAACCCAAATTTTTTGTCTTGGAGGGCTGGGGGCAATGTTGTGATGGGCTGAGGGCCTAAAAAACAGAACAATACACAAGTAATAAAGGAAGGCAGGTTTCAAATGTATTTTATTACATTACACTTTGTTGTTACTAAAATACATATAATAATAATATAATAATCATGGAAAACTACATTTTCCTCACTTCCTTCATTAAGTTTGATGTAACATTGGAAAAGTTTCAAAACACATTGTTCACTCCTGAGTCCATATGGAAACTGAGCTGCAAAAAAGCCTGTGTTAAATTCACTGTTTTTGTGCCGTCACTTAAATAAACACATTTATATACATTAGCCTTTTAGCCTACAGCAGTTTAGCTCCGCCCATTCAGCTGAAGTAATACAGAGTGCTTTTTAAATGAGCTGCAATACAGGTCAGCCAATCAGAACAGAGTTCATTTACATACATTATATTTATATTGTACACTGTATGGACAAAAGTATTGGGACACCTACAAATTACACCCACAGGAGCTTTTATTGCATCCTATTCTAAAACCATAGGCATTAATATGGTGTTGGTCCCCCCCTTTGCAGCTGTAACAGCTTCCTCTCTTCTGGAAAGTGTTCTACAAAGTTTTGAAGTCTGTCTGTGGGAATTTTTGCCCATTCATACAGAAGAGCATTTGTGAGGTCAGACGCTGATGGTGGACAAGATGGTGATGGTGGCTCTCAATCTCCATTCTAGTTCATTCCAAGGTGTATAATGGGGTTGAGGTCAGGGCTCTGTGCGGGCCAGTCAGGTTCTTCCACACCAAACTCACCCAGCCATGCCTTTATGGACCTTGCTATGTGCACTGGGGCTCAGTCATGCTGGAACAGAAAAGGGCCTTCCCCAAACTGTTCCTAAGGGGCTTAGGAACTACGTGGCCTCGGCCAAGCCCTGAAAAACAACCCCATAGCATTGTCCCTCCTCCATAAACCTTTACAATTGGCACAATGCAGTCAGACAGGTAATGTTCTTCTGGCATTCACCAAACCCAGACTCGTCAATCAGACAGCCAGATAGAGAAGCCTGGTTCATCACTTCATAAAATATATTTCCACTGCTGGGTGCGTTACACCACCCCCTGCCCCTGTTCGGCATTGTGCATTTTGATCTTAGGTATGTGTGTAGCTGTTCGGCCATAGAAATACATTTCATGAAGCTCCTAATGTGCAATTCTTTTGCTGATGTGGCTTCCAGAGGTAATTTGCAACTCATTAGTAAGTGATTCAACAGAGGATAGGCGCTTCAGCACTCAGCGGCTCCGCTCTGTGAGTTTGCATGGTCAACCGCTTCGTGGCTAAGCTGCTGTTGCTCCTAGACGCTTCCAATTCACAGTAATAACACTTACAGTTGACAGGGGTGGATCTATCAGGACAGAAATTTCACAAACTGACTTGTGGCAGAGGTGCCATCCTATGACAGTGCCATGTTTAAAGTCACTGAGCTCATTAGTACAACTCTTTTTTTTTGTTTGTTTATTGAGACTACATGGCTATGTGTTTAATTTTATCCACCTGTTAGCAATGGCTGTGGCTGAAACACCTGAACTCAATAATTAGGAGGTGTGTCCCAATACTTTTGTCTATATAGTGTAAACAAATCTTAAAGTCACAGTAACAAAAACAGCCTGCTTCATTCTAAGGCATAAAGAGAGGTTGGTTGTAAGATTGTCATGTAAAAATGAATTACATACAACCACACAAATGAACCTCAGATGGAAAACTGAACATAAAATAGTTGGATATATGTAAAAACATATTGTAGAATAATGTTGGATGTGGGCACTTTAAAAGGAAAATAAGAAATTAATAGGGAAGATATAGTATAAAAATATGCACTTTCATAGAGTCAAGGGGTGGGGTTAGTTTGACTTTATGGTGAGCCAAATCAAACATCCTCATGGGACAACTTTAGGCATCCCTGATTTAAAGGAATGTTCACAGAAAAAAATCTAATGTATTTCTTTTTTACCTCAAACATACCCAGTCATTAGAGACATATTTGGTGCCTGAGGTTTACTTTCTTAGTTTTGTACTGGAGCCATGAGGCAAAGAAATAATGTATAATAAAGGCTAAGAAATAAATCCAATGTCAGCCAAACTTATAGACGTCTGTTACATTAACCTTATGGCTCCTGTAAAAAACGCCTTGTCTGAATGAACACATTCTGTATTATACGACTACATCTTGCAGCGTAGAACCCTACACTGGCCACTTGTGATATTTTAAACATATGGTACTTTTACATAAATTGTTATGGCTGTATTGATTTAAACAAACATTAATGCGTTGGGTTCACCAGACCGCTGAGTAACAAAAACATCAACACCACACAGGGATTAATGGTTTCTATGTTTTTTTTTTAGCTAACATGTAATGGACCTCTGTTATATTAATCTCATAGCTCCAGTGCAAAGCTAAAGAAGCAAAGCTCAGAAACAAGTCTTGGCTGATCGACTGGGTCAAGGGACATTAGTGTAAATTAGATATTGAGGTAAACCGTTCCTTTGATGGTGTTGTAGCATATGAAGACCACTTCATACTCAGATTCCTACAAAAACAGGTGCTTTTTGGTTCTTTTCTCTTTCTTATGACAGCAAATTCATCAAGATCACTTTCAAATGTGGTAGCCACGGCTGAAGAGCCCCGGTGCAAAACAGGACACATTAAAATGTACAAATGATACAAATCAGTAACCGCACATGTGATCAGGTGACATAGGAAGTGTTTATATTATGTCTTCTTCAATTTAGCCTGTCTTCTTCTTTACATTCCACTGTTGGCATGAACTTACGCAACTACAGTATTTAAGCAAAAGGTCAGAACTAACTGAATTAAAGTATTTGCTTTTAAATATACTTCAGATATTCTAACAACCCCACATTTCTTCTCTTGTGCCTTCAGTTCAGGAAATGTGTTAAACACTCCCCCAACACTCATACACACTCTTTAAACTCAGTTGTTTTTGATCGGGTATCTTAGCTACCACAATATTATGATATTTCGTTAAAAGCTTGTCAGAGATGCCTGTGCCCAGTCATAGTTGCTGTTTTGCCAAGTCACAGTTGCTAAGCTATCAGGTTTCAGGGGAGGGGTTTAGTGAAAGGTGCCCCAATTTGAAAATGCATCATTCAGAGTAAGGACAGATGTTGCAGAACGGAGTGAAAAATAGGAAACTACTTTGAAATGCAGTGGAGTAAAAGTGAAAGTCTCAAAAATGGAAATACTTTAACAAAGAACACATACTTGGAAAATGTACTTTGTTACTGCACCCCACTGTTAAGACAACACCACCCTCGGATATCTGGGATAAGAGCTTGGTGTTGCTTTTGCTCTCGTGGTTGAAGTCTTAGCACATTTTAATTTCCTCTGGCCCTGAATGTGTTTTCACTCCACATCAGAAATGACCACACGTTTAACTCTCTGACTCCAAACATCCTGACTGACGTGTTTGTGTTTGTTAGCTGGAGTCTTCTGACTCTTCAGTCTAGTAACATCACACACACCCTTCTCCTCCATGAAGTAACACAAAGAGAGACAAAAAGAGAGACAAAAAGAGAGAGAGGAAAGAGAGCAGGGAAAAAGTGATAGAGAGATGAGAGAAAGAGAGAAAGAAAGAGAGAGGAGAAGAAGAGAGCAAAGAGAGAGCAGAAGGAGAGAAAGAAAGAAGAGGAGAGAGAGATAGTGACAATATTTGCTCTTCTTGTGTTGCTGTTTTGCTATCCGGTGTTGACCAGAGGAGGATGGGTTCTCTATTTGAGCCTTGGTTCCTTTCAAGGGTTTTTCCATTTGCTCTAAGGGAGTTTTTCTCATCTCTTGTCTTGGACCTGGATTTTCTGTAAAGCTGCTTTTTGACCACGCCCCTTGTAAAAAGTGCTATATAAACAAATTTTGACTTGAGAGACAGACAGACAGACAGAGAGACAGAGAGAGAGATGAGAGAGAGAGAGAGAGAGAGAGAGAGAGAGAGAGAGATAGAGAAATAGATAGAGGGAGAAAAAGAAAGAGAGACATAGGCAGAGAGAAGAGAACGGGCAGTGGCCAGTTCTATCAAGCACCCTATTGTAACCTAGTTTTTGTCTTTTTCATAAGTGAACTTGAAGCTGATCCTAGGCCAACAGTGCAACTTTGATACATACAGCCCAGTTCAACTGAGCTTAAAAATCCACTCACAAATCCACAGAACAGTTTGATTTATTTTACATTACAGCAGCCAGTGAGTTCCAGCATTGGGAAGTTGCTCAGTTACAAGTGGAAGTACATTTCCAAGTGTATTAAATTAATTAAAGCTATATTTTCACCAAGTTGTGAGGTCACTTGATCACGTCTTTATGGTACAAATTGTAGTTATGTCTATTATAACCATAGCAAAAGTCACTTAATTAAAATCAATATGTTTTTGTTTGTTTGTGTGTTTTTATAGCTATGTGTGCAAAGGTTAACCTCCTAATTGTCATATGGAAATGTCTCTCTTCCATTTGGGTATCTCTGAATAACACCCATTAGCTAAAGGGTTTGAATACTAACCGTGTCCTCATCTGTCATCATAATTCTACGTTATGCACATATGTTTGCAATTCATATGTTTTGTTTCTCATGACCTTTCATAATGGTAATGTATAAAACAGTTAACTAATGGTTTATTTCCTAGTTACTCTCCTCTCTTTAGTTTCTTCACTGTAGCTGAGCTCTTCCATTTTGTTAAGTACATTTTTAGATTAATTTTCCATATGCAAGCAAACACCAAGCACAGCTGAACTGTGGAAAAATGAAACTGATTTGCAGATCCATGCATATTTTGCAAGTCTCTCAATACCCTTCCTTCAGTGATGATTCATCTAACTGTACTAAACCACTTTAAATGTCATAAAAAGGAGACATCGCTGAAAAAATGACTTGAGAATGCAGCCTCAAGACACATAGAGAAAATAAATACAAAGTTAAATAAGAAAAGAAAACAATACATTTAGATGCAGCTAGTATGTAATAAAAAAGTAAAATTTGTGCTTTAAACTCAGCAGTCTTTTTAAAACAAAGAGCTTTTTTAAGATGCTCCCAAACACTGGGAGGCTTGTCTTTATTTACACAGGCTACAGGGCTCCCTAACTTTCAGAGGGTTTCCACATCTGCCGAGTACAGTCACTGTTTAATTGACCCACTGGTCAACAGCATAACCAGGAAATTATATCCCGGATATGTTCACATGTCGAAATGTCCAGATCTTATGGCCACACTCTTTGTCTTTTAGGTCCTCCCTCATAATAGCCACACTTCACGTCATTCACACATCGCTGCTTAGGAACAGTCTTTACAATGACACCCATTTAGTCCTTTCATTCAGCTTCAGTAACGTTTTACTGTGTTTGTAAGTATATATGCTATGTATTGTTGTTTTTTCAAGAATGCTGCAAATCTTTTGTGTCCAGTTTGAGTCTCTAGGTGCTCCTCGGAGACCTCGAAACCAGATTGTCCATTTTGCTCCTATTCTTCCTCCCTTTCCCTCGCTCCTTCTCTCCTCCTTTTCCTCCATGTTTTTGTCTGTCCCCTTTTTTTCTGTCCCGCTTCAGCTCCACTTCTTTAGACCCTTTGCTGTCGTGACCTCTTTTGGCAAGGTCCTTACAGTACTCTTCCAGGTTGCCGTGGTGAATGAGTGTCATCACATCTTGGTACCAGGGTTGCGAGGAGGCATCAGGCGTGAAGCGCTGGGCGGGGTTCCACACGCTTAAGCGAATCGTTACGGCTGTCCAGCTGAAGCCGTGCTCCTCCAGCTGACAGTGATATATCCCCCCATGATTCAGCTCCGCCCTTGGAATCAGAATTCCCCTGTCAATGACCACCAGCTGATTCCCTGATTTCACCTGAGCAGGAGAGACAGTAGTTCAGGTACAAGCATGCTGTTGTGTGCATATGCATTATGTGTATAATGATACACAGTGCACTACATACAAATGAAAATACTGACCCCTGCACTTAAACAGTACATATTATGTCTATGTGTGCACAATTCCATACTGGACAAATAGTGCACTACTTGGGTGTAGAAGCCAGAATGTCATTACTTAGAGCACAGCATAACATAACATTTCATAATATAGTGCACTAGATAAGTAGAGAAAGGAAGGGGAAAAAAGATCTGTACCCATTTCTATGGGTAACTCTTTTTTTCCCTTCAGGTCTTCCAGGTTTTCCGCAATCCTTTTTTTGGGGATTTTTTTTCCAATGTTCTCCCCAATTTAGTCATATCCAATTCCACCCACTGGCTAGGATTCCCCCAATCACACAATACCACCAGCGTGAGGTGTGTGAAGGCTAACACAAGCTTCCTCCAAGTCATGTGAAGTGCCACTCTTTTCAAACTGCCGCTAATGCAGCACCACTGGTGAGCTGAACGTGCTTTGAGGAGAACGGGCTGGGTGATTGGAGAGAAGGGGGGCTATCCTACCCACCAGTTGTGCTCTCTTTGACTCCCGGCCATGAATGGCTGTAGCATCACTTGGGATTGAACTAATGATCTCCTGATGATAGGGTCAACGCTTAGACGGTTGCATTACTTGGGAGCCGGTTAAACTATATTTAAATTAATGTATTGTGTTATATTGGTTGCTGGCAAATAGAGTTAAATGTACAATATTTGTGAAAAAAAATAAATGCTGGATTCCATACTTCTGGCCTGTAGTTTATTTGTGTAAGTGCGTGTGTGTGTGTGTGTGTGTGAGTGTATACCTGTTGCAGTTCCAAACTGTTCTCTCCCGTCTGTTTAAACCAGGTAACTGCAGCATGTTGGGAATTCGGCAAACACTCCAGGTAGGTGCTGTTACCCACAGCAACCACTATGGCCTTCTCCTCTGTGTGCACCTGCAGTCCAGCTAAGCAAACAAACAGCAAATAAATATATGCAGTTTGCCAAAACAAGCCCTATTAAATGACCTCTGACTATTGTATTGAGGAATTATGGCAAAGAAAAAGTGTTAGAAAATGACAGTAATATACCATATCATAGTCTGAATGTTTACAGTTACAGCAGAGCTGAGCACTCATTTAAATATTCATTTGTAATATTTTCTTCATATTTATGTTATACATCTCAGTAGATTGTATGATTTGGCAACACTTACCTCCTTGTCTGACACACTGGTTTAAAGGATTCTTGTCATCTCCAACCTGACGAGTGTTTCTCCTACAGAAACACAGATAGATGAGATGTGTGCATTGGAAGGCTGAATATATGTGTGCCTTTGAAAACATATTGCCACCATTGAGACAAAACCTTGTATCTCAATTTGTTGATTTTTTTTTTTTCATAATTTGAACCCACCAGCTGCTCTTTCTATTGTGTGAGAATTTGGCAATATATAGACCAATAAAATCGGTCCAAGACTATTTGGAAAAAAAGCTTTTACTTTAAGTTCTATTAAGATCAAAGAAGTTTTTTCTTTTCCCAAATTTTGCTATTTTGGAAATACAAGGCTTTGTGTGGAAAAAAAGAAAAAAACATTTTGTAAAATTTGAGCAAAGTGTGTGTGTGTGTGTGTGTGGTGCTCACCTGCGTGCGACTGGCATGTAGGGGCTGCAGGCATGGCCGTCCCAGGTGCAGTAGGGGTCTCGGGCCATACAGCACTCAGCACAGACCTGTCCGTACAGATCACACTGAAACAGAGCCAGCTGAGACACCCCCTCTGCAGACCCCGCAAACAGCCACTGCTCAACAGAAAACACACACATACAGATACATGTTCATGAAAACCATCATTTTTAATGAAATATGAACATTAACTCCTTAAATGTCCAGGACCCACCAGCAGGTCCAAAGTTTTACTGCTCACTTCTATAACCTAATAATAACTTAATTTACATTGTAGTCCATGTAGTTATTAAGAGCCTCAGAATGTAATTAGCCTGGGATTTTACAGGGTTAAACATTGTGCTAGGAAAACATCTGTCCAGTACTTTTATTTATTTATTTATTTATTAGAATTTATATATGTATATGCATAAATATATACAAACATAACACAAGATTTAAAGCATCACTTCTTTTGCAATGAGAATAGCAGAGGATTTGCTAGGGATTGATGATTTCTTAGGTGCACACATATTCAGAAATTCACTCTTAGGCTGAGGTCAGTGAAAATGCTCTGTAGCTTTTGCACGCTGTCTCAAGTGCATTCGCCTGCGTGCGCTTCCTTGTGTAGTTGTGTGAAAATTCACACTTCTGGAAATGAGTTTCATCTGCCTAGTCTCAGGTTGCCATAGAGACACTGTATGAGAGGTAGTGAGGATGAGGGAAGGGTCTGTGTCTCTGTTTGTGTGAGGGTGTGTATATATAATGCTGCTGTAAACATACCTTTTTCTTGGACAGCGTCAGGGCAGTGATCGGTGACTTGTGCTGTAAGAAGAGAGGCACAACAGAGGTAAAAAATCTTTGATCAGGATTCATTCAATGAAATCTGTCCAAAATCCATAGTGCAAACACACAACGTACCTTAAAAACGTGCAGCTGCTCCAGTGTGACCTCTTGATGTTGTCCTCTGTCTTGGTAGAGGTATAAGGACTTCAGCACAAGTCCAGAGTCTAGTTAACACACACACACGTTTGAATCAACATACAATGTGAATCTTTAAAGCAGTAGTTTGGCAAATGTATACTATGGATTCATCGCCACTAGAAATGCTAATGCTCCAAATGTACTGTGTGTGGTATACAGGGAGAAGCTGCTTCTCTTCACTTCATTTGGAGACAAAATTAACAACCTGACACAGTTTGAGGCAAATGTGTGATGAATTAGACATGGAGTTTGCAACTGGCTAATTGGTGGGGAATAAAAATCCATTATTTGTTAGGTAGATTAGCCAGGAAACACTGAATACATTTGAGGTAAGAGGAAAATTGTGTAGAGTTGAATTCACTAAGCCATCGCTTTAAAGTCTCCTGCACAGTAATATACAATACATATTTCCAGTAGGTCCTCATCTCACTAACCACACACTTGATCATCTGTACACCAACCCACACATACACACACCTGTTCCAATGAACAGAACATCATACTGTCCATCCACAGCCTCCACTCTGTCCACGACGAGGCGGGTCAGCTTATAGTTCACGCCCACTCGAATCAGCAATGGTCGGCCATGCAGAGGTAGCACCACATCCTGCAGTAATGGATGGGTGCGGCTAAAGAAGATGACATCATCAGGATACTCCCTCGTGGAGCGGAAGCTGCCGTAAGTGCTGCTCGGACACTGGGGGGGTGAGAGGGAGAAAATGTTCTGTTACTAAGGCTGACAGTATAATAAAACAGATTATGTATTATTAACATTTCACAGTTTGCGAAAACAACAAATTACTGTGTGGTTCCTGATTATTTTATAGCCTCCACATGCAAAAAGTTTGCCCTACAGTTCTTGCTACTAATTTGCATCTGCAACCACAGAACTCAAAGAGTCTTTGAAAGTCCATCCAGAAACAACAGCACCAAATAAGCTTGTTTAATCTTACCAAACATACTTGACCTACATGTTTACTTCCCTACTGCTACGAATGGCTGTCAGTAGCTGCTGTTTACAAGCAGCATGGAATGCCCACGTTTCATTGTGTGGAAGTTCCCGGTGTGAAAATACTACTTGCACAGCAGGTACCACAGTGTGGAACTAGTCATTTTGAGATACAGCACAAAACTACTGAACTAGTAACTAAAAAAGAAAAAGTCTGTTTTATTGGTCAGAGCATGCAGCAGCAACTTTGACCCAATATCACTGAACGTGTATTACATTTTTAAATATATGGAAAGTGTTCAATGCCTTCATAATATAGCTCAGCTCTGAATAATGTAAACTATATGCGAACACTTTAGCTTTAAAATAAAAATGCTCATTGCTGAGCAATAGCACAGCTGACCAATGGTGATGGGTCTGAAGAGACAGCAGATATGTACTGATGTGTTTTCTGAATTATCAAATGCACAAATATGATCAAGTGAAAAGTAAACTTCATGGCTAAAGAAATTAAATTAAGATGAAATATACTCACTGTTCCAGGTCTGGGATAGGGCACTTTGCCTGTAAACTCCGCCCATTTGTACTGTGGCCCCTCCCTATGGTAGAAATTTCCTTTGAAGGCACGGATGATGTCCTGCATGCGGTACACACATACTGCTGATCCGTTGAACACGTCACTGCAGAGACAGAGGAAAGAACAGAACACGTACTAAGTGTCCACCCCTTGCTTTTATTACAGCTTCAATTCTTTTTGGGACACTTGCTTTCATTTTGTCAAAGAAATCTGCAGTGAAATTCACAGGAAGCCTTTTCATACTTCTTCTGAACACCATTAAAGTCTCAGAGGTTGGTTGCATTTTCCACTTCTCACCAGCTAAGTAATCCCAATATAAACATTTAGAGTAATCAGTCCATAAAAACTTACTCCACATCTCACGTGTCAAAGTTGCGAATTTTCTACAGCTACACGTCCTTTCAGACCCATAGTGTTGAGCTGTTGTCTCACAGTGGAAGGATAAAAAAAACCTCTGTATTTTTTTGGATCTGAGCTTGATTTTCTCCTCTCTCTGTGATGAAGGCTTTAAGTACCATCTGATGGTGACGGTTTTGGTGATCTACTAGGTCTTGCATGGTTGATAGGAGCCCAATGTTCTGCATCTTTTAATGACGTTCTGAAGTCCAGTTTTGAAATCTCCAGTTTTTTTCACTTATGTTATTTAGCTTTCTCCTTTATCTCAGATTAAGGATCTATCTAATCTGTCTAACCTATCTAATCTCTTAAATATCTTCTTTAGCCATTTTAGATGTTTAGTTCGTTGTTTATATGAATTTAATGTCTCCTTGAAGGGGAACACAATGTCAGTGGCTCCTTTGGGAGCATCTTTTGTTGGGAGGACACAGTTTTAACTTGCTGGTTTTAAGATTGGAGGAATGGAAGAGTAAAAGAGGCAGTAGACTCTTAAAAAAGATGGTTCTTCAAAGGGTTCTTTGGTAAAGATAATGGTTGTGTACAGAACCATGAACACTCACCGAACCATTTGCATGATTAAATTGTTCTTTGCGTGAAAATGTTCTTCAGATTAACTGAGAATGTGTTATATATTGGTCTATATAGAACCTTTTTGAAAAGGGTTCTATATAGCATCAAAAATGGTTCTGCTATTGTTACGATGTCAAGTTTGGTTTTAAAGCAATGGTAACAATAGAAGTTCTGCTGTTGTTGTGTTGTCAAGTTTGGCTTTGGATCAGTAGTAACAATACACACACACACACACACACACACACACACATTTTCTAAACCGCTTATCTTTCTGAGTCACGGGGGGGTGCAGGAGCCTATCCCAGCAGCTATTGGGCAGAAGGCAGGAAACACCCTGGACAGGTCGCTAGTCCATCGCAGGGCAGACAGACAGACATATACACTCACACCTAGGGGCAATTTAGCATGACCAATTGGCCTGACTGCATGTCTTTGGACTGGGGAAGGAAACTGGAGGAACCGAAGGAAACCCACGCAAACATGGGGAGAACATGCAAACTCCACACAGAAAGGACCCCAGGTCACCTGGCCAGGAATCATACTCAGGCCCTTCTTGCTGTGAGGCGACAGCACTACCCTCTGGTTCGCTAAATTTCCTTCGGGAACAATAAAGTATCTATCTAACTCTATCTACCCACTGCACCACCGTGCTGCCCCATAGTAACAATAGAAGAACCCTTTTTGGTGGTACATGGAACCCTATTCAAAAAGGTTCTATATAGAACCATTTACAACACATTCTCTGTCAAGCTGAAGAACAATTTCACCATGGAAAGAACCATTTGGTCATGCAAATGGCTCTTTGAGTGTTCATGGTTCTGTATAGAACCATTGTCTTTACTAAAGAATCCCTGAAAAAGAATGTAGGGTGCCAAAAGTAAGGAGTGGACAAATTAAATACTGATCGATTTGATATTAAACTTCATGTGGAGGCTTCTGTGTAATTTGCTGTTAAACAGCTGAAAATTAAAAAGTGTCTTAAAGGCCATTATGACCAGAAATGAAATGAATAAAAGGTGGTCTCTGATTTTTGCACAGCACTGCAAGTGTTTGTTGGTAAAATGCAGCAACATTCTTTTTTTCCTTTTCCATTCTTATATCCATTCCATTGTTATGACTCGAGTTCCACTTCAGCAGCCAATCCAGCTCACTGTAGTGAGCAATGTGAGAAGTGTAAAAAACGTTCACCATTGACCTAATGGTGCTGCAGAGAGCAACACTACACTCACTGTTTCCATAAGTCTGCCTTTCAGAAACTTTCTCCACCCAGCGGCTCGATCCAAAACCAAACCAAAAACACACATGCGGCGCACGCAACACAGAAGTCGGTCACTTTTAAGGCACACACAGATGTGGACACACACACCCATGCACATCATTTGATTTTGCAAATGTGAAGCCTGCTGGGTGTATAATCTGTTTTAAATATGTAAAATGGATCTTAAATGTCATCTAAGAGCTGACTGGAAAATATTTCTGCATATTCCTGACCACTTTATTTGTGAGCATCCACTCACAATCCTCATAAAGCAGCTACAGTGACTGTGGATGGCTGACAAAATAATCAAAGACTGATCTTCACTCGCAATCTTCACTCACAGGTGTGGAGAAACACTAAACACTTGATTTAGTGACTCTACTACCCCACAGGAAGAAATATGCAGCTAACAACATGACGTAACATCGTGAGCGTGTTCTGTTTCAGGCTAGGTTTGTTACAGGACTAGTACAAATTCATCATTTTTTCCCTCTAATATCCGATCCGTTATTTTCTGCAAACATTGGGCCAATATCGATACACATTGAGATTGATATGCCATATTTAATTCTTTCATAAATTATTTGTTTTTTTAAACGTTAAAGTACAGTACAGTGCAAAACCTTTCGGCCTGGCTTTCATTCACAATGTCCATTAAGAGCAAGTAACTGATTTTTCAGGTCATATTTCTGAGTAGATATATGTAATCTGCAGAGTGACGTTTCCAATTTACAATGAAAAATGAGTAAAGATCCACTTCTGCTTTGTGTTTGGGATTATTTGGATCATGAGAGGTGGAAAATGCAACCAACTAAGACTGATTTGCTGGTGCATTGTGTTTGCAAATCCCAGAAAAAAAAAAAGTTTTCCCATATCGCCCACCCCTATGAGTGGACTCACCTGGAGGTGGTGAAGACGCCATAGATCAGAGGATTCTTCTGGTCTTTGCCATACTGAATGAAGATATCCTCTATGGAGAAAAAAAAAAAGAAGTGTAGGGTTAGAATATTAGAGAGGAGTGAGAGGGAGTGACTCAGACAGAAGAAAGAGAATGAGAATATCTGTGCCAGAGAGGGGAAGAGAAACAGAGCAGGAGAAGGAGACAGACAGAAGCGAGACTGGAGATAAAAGTACAATATCTCTTACAGTCGTGTCAAAGACAAATAAACATATTTCTCACCTCAGTCACACTCTCTTTCTTTGCGAATAAACTTGCGCAGCCTGACATACTTGTGGTTTTATGCTCTCTCTCTTTCTCTCTCTCTCTCTCTCTCTGTGAGACATACTGTGAAGTGCATATCTGCATTTTCACATTCCACCCATTTCAGATATGATCAGACCTCCTATCTCAACTAACACACACACACATACACACAGAAAGAGCCACACACAGTGACACACACACCCATAGGCGGTTACAACACACACACACACACACAAACACACACACACAAAATCCTGCTCATAGACAGACTTAAACCCTTCTCACTCATACAGCATGTACACTGTAGTTTATAGTATTTCTCAACAACATTGCGTAAGAGTGAAGAATGACTAACTTCACATTATAAACAGTTTTACACTCTTATTACAAAATGTATAAAGAAAACAAACAAATGTCAATGGCATTGTCAAAATGTTTTTTCTCCTTTTTTCCCTGTCAAAAATTGGACTTAATATCTCAAAATAATGCTTGTTTTTTTAGAAATGTTGACTTAGTATTGAGAAATGATTACTTATTTTCTTAAAATTGCTATCATAAAATAAAGATTCTTTTAGAGATTTTGACTTATTAAGTCAAAATAATGACTTATCTTGAAATTTAATGAATTATGTTGAGATTTTGAGTTATGAAGATAATAATAATAAGGAATAATAAGTCATTATTTTAAGACAGTAACTTTTTTCAACATAGTAAGTCAAACTTTTGAAAAAATTAGTCATTCATATGACTTAGTAAGTCAAAATTTCAAGAAAATAAGTACTTTCACATAATGCTGCCAGAAACGTTACACCTTGTTCTAACAGTTTTCAAATGTAGTCGTGTTGCATTTCTCTCTGATGCCTATGGCTGTTTTTGCCGTAGTCACAATTAAAAAGTTAATTCCACTCTTTAGCAATATTTGCAGTTTTTGCCGTATTTTAATTGTATAATTTTGGCTTTGAAGTGTTCAGCAGAAAGTTTGGTCCACAAACAAAAATGTACAGTAAACCTACAACCTCCTTAAAACATTTCATTATCTGTGTCATTGTCATTTATCTCTGTCTGACCCCTCCCATCCACCTTTTCTCTTGTTTTTGTTTCTCACGGTTTCTCCTGCTCTTCTTCCTTTCTCTTTTCCTTTACCTCTCTCTCTCCTCCTTCTCCTCTTTGTTGGGGAACTATCCTTGTAGCAGATTTTCTAAACAAAAGACTCGGTTCTTCCTGAGAAGAGATAGTTTTGTCTGACCCGCACTCCGCTGTGTTCCCCATCCCGCCCTCATCCTCCATTATGGCCATAAACATCCCCTTCTCCTCCTCTCCTCTGGTTTTCTCCCTGCTCATCTATCCATCCCGCATCAGACTGCCAGGCAAACTGGAGACAGGATGAGGGTGACACAATCACACAGACACATACCCTCCAACGTTTTAAATACTTTCTTTAAATTCTTTTAAATACTAGCTTCACATAAAAGACAGTTAAAGGATCCAAATACATATGAAAAGATTCCAACAGCTTGTTAGTGCATAACTGCTATACCATTTAATGCAACAAACACACAAGCACACACACCACACACACACACACACACCCACACCACACATATAGGCTACATACAGTCTCTTTTACAGTCAATCACTTTGACCTCCCAAAAAATCCCAAAAATACTTCAGACAACTGTAAACAAGAATGTATGCTAGTTCCAAACCACACACCACTAAAAACTTGTTTTCTCCAACGACACACACTTGCACACACAAACAAAAAGAACTGGACTGACCTCCATGAACCCGGACAATGACAAATTCTCCCACATACCTATTCTGCCACATACCAACGCCTCTGCACACACGAACATAAAGTCCTACTAACCTTGATCCTCCTAGCAGTGACAACATTCAAATGGCTATTCTAAATTCTGAGTTCATCAAATCAAGACTTAATTAAAAAACATTTTAACTCCTTGAATTCCCAGGCTTATTACATACTAAGGCTTATTATACAGTAACCACAGGGACTTCAGTGCAAACTGGCTCAGCTATTCTTATAGAATTGTGTAATAAAACCTTGGGCCTGCTGGTGGGCCCTGGCCATTTAAGTGGATAAAAGAATAACCCAGTTTATAAGTGCTACCAAGCAAAACTGGCACAGCCTGTTTCTGTAGAAAACTCATGACCAGAGACATTATCTAATTAATGCCACTGCAGATCTTCATACTTGAGTCCCATTCTGGGCAAATTCCTCTCACACAAATATATTTAGCTAAACTATACCTCGATTTCTTCAACGATCTACCATTTTTTATAAAAAATGAACCAAGGGTGAAGTGCTCAGTGAAAAGGCCTGCTTTAAAGCTATAACAGTCTTGAGTTACATGTCCTAAATAACAGTGCTGTGAAAAAGTATTTGCCCCCCCACCTTCTTCTATTCTTCATATTTGTCACACCTAATTGTTTCAGATGCTAAACAAATTCATATAAGACAAAAGCAATATGACTAAAGATTGAAGGAAGTGAAGGAAAAAAGTTATCCAACACCAACGGGCTCAATGTGAAAAAAACGACTGCTAATGAATAAAATCTAGTTAATAAATTGGATCAATTAAACTAGACACACTCAGGCTTGATTACTGCCAGCCCGGTTGCATCTAAACATCACTTAAATAGAAGTTCCCCAGTAAATATGAAGTAGGTTTAAAGGTCTCAACAAGCAGCACACAATGCTGATCAGAAGAAATTCTGGAAGAGATGAGAAAATTGAAATCGAAATTTATCAGTCTGGAAAGGGTTACAAAGCCGTTTCTAAGGCTCTAGAACTCCAGTAAACCACAATGAGAGCCATTATCTCCAAACAGAAAAAACTTGGAACAGTGTTTAACCTTCCCAGAAGTGGTCAGCCTACAAAAATTCCTCCAAGAGCACAGTGACGACTCATTCAGAAAGTCCCAAAAGAACCTGGAGGAACACCTTAACGTAGCTCCCCTCAGATAAGGCTAGCGTTCATGATTTACAATTAGAAACAGACAGGGCAAAAATGGTATCAAGCGAGCTGTCCTGTGCAGTGATAAAAGGTTTTGTAGTAGTCTAGCCAAAGTCTTGACTTGAGCCCTTTGAAGTGCTGTGGCAGAATCCCAAACAAGCAGTTTGTGCTCAATAGCCCCCAGTGTGATTGAATTAAAGCAATTCTGCTTTAATCTATAGAGAAGGCCATCATTCTTACCATTCTCACATGGCGATCTCCGATTATAGGAAGTGTTAGGTTGCAGATATTGCATTAAAAAGGTGGCACAACCAGTTAAGTTTTTTTCTTTTTTTTTTTTACTTTCTCACATGGGTGATATAGATGTTCCAAAATCTTTTTCCTTCATGAAATTAAATGGTCATTTTGTTTTCCTCATGTTCTTCTTGTGTTGTATTACATTTTCTATGAGTTTCTGAATTTTGTGTTACAGATATGCAAAAACAGAGGAAATCAGGAGGGGGCAAATACTTTTTCACGGCACTCTACAATGACTCAGAATAACTTGTTTCCCTAATACCATGTTTGAAACATGTAAAATAAACCAGTCCATTGCTGACTTAAAGCTATTAAATCAACATAATATTTAGCTGTAGAGCTAATGTATCAACATTATAATGAGCTGTACAGCTGATGGAGCAACATATTAATAATGTATGGCTGCTATTAATCCTGCTGTTAGAGTTATGACAAAACAGAGGACAAAGAATTCAGTGAAGGTCTCAGTGCAAAAGCCTGTTTCATTGCAATTATCACGTGTATTCCCATGGTAAAGTCCCGGGTTACATTAGGCCTGCGTGTGATCATATTGCTGTTATATTTCTACAAATTGTGACTTTGAGACAGAGTCATATATTACATACACGCCAGAGATTGCCCTCATTATTTGGTTTGTTGGATCACATGAATGTCTTGACTCATCAAAACACCCACAGGATCTGGTTGTAAACACCCAAGGATGTTCAGGATGTTCACAGTGTGCAATAAAAACAAAACAATTGATTTGTCAGAAGGCTTACATGCATATTGCAGCCTTTTGTAATATCAGTATTCCCAAGATTAATATTGTCGAAATTCACAATACATCACACATCACATGTAATATATTAATTATAAGTCTCATTCATATCTACAGCATATCTCCATGTGAAAGTAACCTTGCCCCAGGCCATTGCAGTAACTCAGGCCACACACTGTTTGCCATGCAGTGTGGTCTACCCGCGTGCTACAGGCTCTGCAGCATGAGGGTCCCTGATGCAGAGGGGGTTTGTGGGAGATGTAGTTGTTCCGGGCAACAGAGCATGGGGAAAACATTACAGTGATGGAATTCTAACTACGGTGATGACAGTGCTGTAAAGCATGTATGAGTGTGAGGAGGGCAGGGTGTAATAACATTATCATTCCTGTGCGAAATTGAGAAGTGTGTGACTGCAGTGGGGATTTCAGTTTTACTTGAGTAGGAGGTTTAAAAAAAAGTTTTTTTTTGGTTGGGAAGACTTTATTTGCTTTTGTTTATTCTACCATTCCAAAGTTTGTAACCACTGTTAAGTAGCTAAGAATCAATGTTTTTGATAATATAAAACCAATTTGATAGTAAATAATTACACTGTGTACTTTATTTAACTAAAATAAAGAAAAAAGTAAAGCAAAGAAGCTACAAATATTGTATCAAACACGCTTAACACTGTAAACTTCCTCCACCAAATAAAGCAGTACCCTTTTGCGTTGCAGACTCGTAACTGTCACAATATCAGGTTCAGCTCAGCTTTTCAGTATTTTCCAGATTAACCTGAATATTTCTAGTTCCAGCCAGTCTGTAAATCATTTCAAGCCCATCTTGTTGAACAGATTGTATTCTGCTTGTTTCTGGCTCATTGCAGTTTTTTTATTTGTTCTGTTGTCCCAGCTGTCAAAAAGCTTACTTGAGGGCAATGACAGGTTCAGCAGGCCTGCTGACACACTCCCTCAGAATCTTACCAAATGGGCTGCAGGCCAAATATTCTCTTAGAGAAGTTATCTAATAATCAAACTGTGCAGTTGGAATTAACTTTTGTATATTAAATAATATATGTATTATATAATGTTGTATAATGATATGATTCCAGGCTTTTGAATGGTAGTGTATTTATCAAGTCATGGCCAGTGAGCCCACCCTTTTTGATGTATAGAGAACAGTACATTAGCTGCCATTGTTTAGCATCATGTGGGTCAGCGTCTCACTCACAGAGACAACAGCAGAGCTTAGTGGGAGGGCCTGGGGTCCGCTCGAATGGTAACCGCTAACCACTGTGTCGCCTTGCACGCTGCATGATCCTTTCAGCATCTCTCCCTTTTCATTTAAGCAGAAAGGAGAGAAGGATTGTGCAGAGCCAGTCTGAGATGTGATAACGCCTCATGCAGATACCATACCTGAGCTTGATTGTTCAGTGGAGATATAGTGGGGTTCAGGGGGTAGGTTTGGTGTGTGTATGTGTGTTTGATGTATTTCCTTCAGTCTGCCTCAGCACAGAAGAATTGTTTACTCTACAGACAGCTTTTGCTTACATAGACAGAGTGATAAGAAACTGGTCTGTGTGTGTGTGTGTGAGTGTGCATAAACACTGATCTCTTAGCGCTGATACACCTTGGCCCATTTCTGAGCATCATCTAAATACAAAGTATTCCTTTCAATACAAAACGGTCAGGCTTTTTAAGTGTGAAGAAGTTTGAGAAAGCTGTAAAAATAAAAAAAAGCTTTTCAGAAGAAATATAAGAACAAGTTGGGGTTTGAAAATGCAAGCGATCGAGTGAAAGGTCTTATTGTTTTGAGAAAGATTTGTGTGTATGGGTCATGTGTCAGGGTGTGGTTTTTACTCACGGAGCTGGTCGAAGTGGGTTTGTATGCCGTCAGGTCCAGGCACAGAACAGACAATTCGGGCCTTCTGAAACGTACTCCATTTATTCACCAAACTCCGCTGTCCCCCGATGTCATTCTACAGAGAGAATCACACACGAACACATGTAATATACTCATATAAAAAGGAGATATTGAGATGCATTGACCTGAAGGTGGTGATTCAACTACATAGATTTTGGAATGTTATAATTAAACATTAGACTATGTGTTTAATTAAGTGTGTTTTTGTGAATAATATCACAGCCGTGATTTGGTTGCAGGCTTGAACTGAAAGCAAGACCGTAGATCATCTCAGTCATGATGTTATTCATGATAGCACATGACCTCAAGTTCTTTGCTTTTATATAGCAGTTCTGAAAAATAAAGAAAAAAGTACAGCAAAGAAGCCCCGAACACTGTATCAAGTGTGCTTTGATACTGTAAATTCCTTCCGCCAAAAAAAGTAGCACCCTTTTATGTCACGAATAGACCGATAAAACTGTCGCAATATCAGGTTCAGCTCAGCTTTTTCAATATTTGCCAGAATAACCTGAGTGTTGTTTTGTTTCAGCCAGTCTGTGAAGTATTTCACAGCCCATCTCATTTGCTGAATTTTATTCTGTTCATTTCCAGCTCATTTCAGTTTGTTTAGTTCTGCCGTCAAAGCTGCCAAAAGCTTACTTGGGAGCAACGACAGGGTCGGAATTTGATGCAGGCCTGTTGTCACACTCTACTTCAGGATCTGACCAAATGGGCTGCAGGTCAAATATTATCTTATAAAAATATCTAATACATTTTGTTTTGTATGTGTTTAAGTAGAAACTGAGTAGCATCATTTTTCATAATAACCGTATTTTTCCTGGAATGCTTATCAGCCGATCATATTGTGTGGTCAGAACTAACTGCTGTATAATCGATTTTAAATGATTACAATAACATTCAATTAAGTACGCACTCATTTTTTTCCCTAAAATAATATCTTTGAGCTATTTTCACACATAGACATCCAAAAAGCACTTGAAATATTGTTTCTTGTCTATATTCCAGTAATGTGAAAATAACTCAACTAATCCAATTTGTGTACTCAGTATATTTTTTTTTTAAAAATTCTGAATCATAAGAAAATATTAACATTGAACGAATCATATCAAAATTTGAAATTTCATGAATCTTTCGATCATATACTAAAGAGTCAGAATCAAATCAGTGTGAGGTCAGAGATTTACAACTGTACGCTATAACCATAATAAGCAAATTTTTATGTAACACTTTCATTTTTTGCTCCTGCATTTCCGGCGATGTACAGTGAACACGGCGGGGCAGAAATGCAGGCTGGCACGTCCACCTCCACACATGCAGGTAGATGCGCAAGCATTCAGTCATACAGGTGCGGACGTGCACGTAACACACACACACGCAAAAATACCTTGCAGACGCGGGCGACTCTGGAGTAGAGAACTTTCCCAGCCGGCCCCTCTGCCTCCTGAGCGCGCTCAGTGAAGAACATATAGACCTTATCGTCTTCCTCATTATCACTCTCCTTCATCATGGCCACGTGCACAAACTCAGCCTCTGAGAGAGAGAGAGCAAGAGACAGAGAAAGAGAGAGACTATCATTTATTGTTCAACATTTTGGTGTTAAAAAGTGAGTTTTATGATTTACTAAATAGGCACAGGGGCCCTTTAGAGTCCACAATAAGATCAAAGGGGCAGCTGCTGCTCTTTTGTGGTTTTTGCCTCATTGCATCTACATTTATTGGAGTTTCCTACTCAAACCACAAAACAGTGGGAGGAGATCATTATAACGAACCATCTTTTCAGATTTTCTATGGCCAAAAGTACTTTTTTTAATCTTTCTGCTTAAGAACTGGACAGCTGGGATAGGCTCCAGCGCCCCACCACAACCCAGAAGGATGAGCGGTTTGGATGGCGTGTTTGGAGTGTGTTTAAGAACCGGCCTTTAACCTGAATGTAATATATTCTGTTCAAACTAATCTTAAACCTTAATCTAACCCTAACATCCACTCAGAATTTGAATCTAAATCCTAATGTTATAGAAACAGATGGCTGTTAAAATATAATTTGAGCATCTGTAAATAATCTATAGGGGAAATAAAGTGTTTGAAATAAAGTGTTATAATAATCTCCATGCTTATCTGTATATATGAATGAGTGTTTGAAATTATGCATCTGACATGTTCTCTCTGTGTGTGTGTGTGTGTGTGTGCACTTTTCTGCCTGTCTGTGTATCCAGACTGTGTTGCTTTATTTATTTACTTTCCTTTCTGTGTGTGTTTCTGTAGGTGTGTGTGTGTGTGTGTGTGTGTGTGTGTGTGTGTGTGTGTACCCTGTAGCCAGGTCGGGTCGTATTGCTCTGTGCGGATCACATGCCGCTCTCCAAGACTTCGAAAAAATGCAGAGTCACGACTCATGAAGTCTGAGGTGATGCCAGCATACAGCTCCCCATCTGCAACACACAATCAAAGGAAAGGTTTAAAGACTCTTCATGCCAACATACACAAACACACAAACACAGAAACCCAAAAATATCAGGTTTAAAAGGCCAATCTTTTGTTTTTCCCCCTCTGAGACCCACTTATGACGTTTGTGTGGTTTCATGTACAAAAGGCTGTCAGAATTCATTTTCACATGATCATTTTTCAGCTTCTCTCTATCCCTTAGAATTAAACAGGCTGTCATTGTTGCTGTAAGGGATGCCCTGATCCAACCTTTTCTCTCCCAATTCTGATACCTGATTAAGAGTATCGGCCGATACTGAGGACTGATCTGATATCAGTGCTATTATTTAAAATTAATTAATCTTAAATATATCTTAATATCTTAAATTTAAAATCTGTATACCTCATATAATGTGCTGGAATCATTCGAATACTATATATATTGGATATAAAGAATGTAACTTTTAAACAATGTTCACAATAAACACACACTCACACACATAGTCATACCTATGATGGCAGTAGCGGTCCTCTGGTGGGGGTCATAGGGGCACTTCCCTTTACCTGTCTCAGTCTGCTCATGCTCCAGTGTTTGCTCCTCAGCCTGTAATACACATTACACTGTTAATTCTTCATCCTCTTGCACAGGCTTGCTGCTCTCTCGCTTTCTCTTTCACACACACACACACACACACACACACACACACACACACACACACACACTCATCCACACACACATAAAAGATAAGGCCAGTCGACTTTAATGCTATTGATGTTTCAAGTTTAATCTCATAAAGAGGAAGAGTGTTAAAATCCCCTGTGCTGTACCGCCAGCACAAAGCACCATGTCCTCTCAGCTTAACCTAACCACCTCACTACGGTCTTTATAGGCTTAACTCCCTCTCTCTCTCTCTCTCTCTCACACACACACACACACACACACACACACACACACCTCAGTGCAGCTCAGGTCACAATTACAAGTGTGATACACCATTCCTGACTACAATGACTGGTTCCTCTCTATTCACACAGTAAACATGACTCAAAGTTGACGCCAGTTTCAGCTATTAGTAGTCAACAAGTCTCTGTGCTTGGCACAAAGGTCTGGCTATGAAAAAAACAAGCATTAGAAAAGCATGTAAAGGTAGCTGTCTTGTGTTTTTGTTTTGCTCAAATACTGTTTTTTGTGATTGAAGTAAAAGATACTATATAAACCAGTCAAACTGATGATGATGATGATGATGATGATTTCTGTACCGTGAGGAAGAGCTGGACAGGGATGAAGGCACAGCGAGGGCTGAAAGCACCAGTTCCACAGGCGTAAAGGTGTGTTTGGTTATAAGTCTCCAACACGCGCAAGAAATTGGCACACTCCAACTGAGGACAAGATAAAGAGAACTGGGAGTAAAAATAAGTCCCATGGAATATTATAGATCCAACACATAAATGTTTATGTGTGCAGTCTGTGTGTGTGTGTGTGTGGTTGTACATGTGTGTGCTTCAGTGTGTATTTCACCTGTGGGTCTTTCCCAGCCATCAGGCAGTCTTGGATCCGATCTGGATTTGCTGGCCAGTGAATCTGAGATAAATGATAAAGCAGATGAACCTACATGCAAAGTCAAATGTTGTTTTAAATTCAGTGTAAAAATATCTCATATGATGACACATATTGAATATAGAGTACTGTCAGGTGAGCTGCTGATGGAACTGAACAAATCCATGCAATGGCTGGAAATCTATTGATTTTATGAATGTCAATGTTTTTGCTCAACCACCTTCAAACTTCTCCTTGAGGAAGCCCAGTATTATTTGTGGTTTGGCTAATCAGTGCTGCTTTAGTAAAATCAGGTGCGCTAGTGGAATTGAATAAATCCATGCGATGGCTGGGGGCATTAAGGAGACATCATGAATCTTCTAACTACTTTTTTGACAGCAATAAATTATTGTTACTTTTTACTGCATTAGTGCTTGTTTACATTTATTCAAATGTGTTTATACTTTGAATAGAACCATTTATTTATTCAAATTTTCATCATAATTTTCTTAATATAAATTATTGTTGAAAACTACTTTCAGTAAATGTTTTGTGAGTCAGTACATGAGGAACGGCCTGCACTCCTGAGACTATGCTGAACTGGTATGTGTGTGTCTGAGATTTAATCTGCATAAACACACACTTGTAGGGGATGAAAGCACATGCGCACAAAAATACACACACAGTTAGTCATGTAAATGGTGTGGGCTGGTCTGAAATGGCAGTTTTGATAAGATAAGAGTGTGTCTGCAACTGAATTCTTGAGCACATTTTACTGGTAATGAAGCTGTTCATATGTGTGTGTGTGTGTGTGTGTGTGTGTGTGTGTGTGTGTGTGTGTGTGGGTGCGCGCGTGTGTGTTTGTTCATTTTATACACCAGTGCAGAGTTACTCTCTCTCTCCCACTCAGCACTACGCTATGTCACTGGTATAGTGTGCCAGTGGCAATGCGGCAGAATTAACCCCTTAAACTCCAGGCTTATTAATCTGATATCAGTCTTAAAAGTTATTCAGAAACTAATATGATAAATAATAAAGTATGTAGATATGAAAGTGAGGAAATACAGACCTTTAGGGTTTAATAGTTTCAAATCATGCTCTTTCAGTGATAACTGAGAGAGCACTGTGTGTGTGTGTGTGTGTGTGTGTCAGTGTGTGTGTGTATTAGAGAGAATGCGTAAGCACCTTGCGGGGAGGGTGTGTAATATCATCCAGGCTTGTGGACAGTAGATAGTCCTTCATGCTGATGTAGAGACGGCGGCCATCTTCGTCGGGCAGAAGAGAGTGAAGGTCTCCCGCAGAAAGAGGGAGAGAAAACAACCTCCCACTGCGCACCAAGTCTGAGAGAGAGAGAGAGAGAGAGAGAGAGAGAGAGAGAGAGAGAGAGAGAGAGAGATGGATTCTTGAGTATGACAGTATGACTGGCAACTTATTAATACCTTTTTTGGTTTATGACTATATTCATTGATTTGGCTATGATGGCTATGATCAATTTCAAAACAGTATTGAAACTTGTTTACAGATGAAAATAACAGCACTTGCATCTTTTTTGAAAACTACTAATGCTCAAACTATGGATTAGGGATGCACAATGATATCAGATTCATATCGGCATCGGCTGGTATTTGATTTTAAAAAATAGCAGCATCAGATAGATGTTTATGTTTTCGTATATTTTATTTTTCTTGGAAGAGCAGAATGTCTAGGTAGCTCTGTGTTACTGTGCTAAATGTCCACATTTTATTCTTTTTACTGCATTTGTAACACATTTAGAAATAAAGGTTATATTTCTTTATAGTGCTTATTCATATGGGTTTGATCCCAATTTCTACATTTAACAAATATTTATGTATTGGCAGAAAAGTACATGAGAAATATAGGATTTAAGCATCAGCCCACAATGCCCATATCAGTGCACGCCTACTACACATCTGGGTGCATTCAGAATAAAGTGGGTTTGGGGCGGAGCTTATGCTCTGCACCAACTCATGCCTAAATTATTACGCTGATAAATGCTAGAGGTTGCAGTTTTCAGGGCTTGATAAGAACTGCTGATCTGAGCCAAACTAATCTGCGTAGTATATAATTAGAGATGTGTAGAATCTAATTTTTAATACACACAATACTGAAAATGTATTCTTTTTTGGAGACATTCATAAGAATATTCTGAAGTGCAATTAAAAAATTAAGAAGCTCTCAGATATTCTCTTAAGAAAGTCTTAAACTGGTACATTTTATAGCCTCAAAGCTATTGTAGGCTGTGAGAGACATATTTAAACAGGCTTTAACTAATTTAGAAAACAAAGTGAGTGTTGTTTTGCCTGCTTTTTGGTTAATTTTAATTCCTGATGTAAAATGATAACACAGAAATAATGCAAACAATAAAATAAAAGCTACGAACGAATGTCTCCATAGAGACCTTCAGCTGATTAGTGCTTATATTCATGCAACACAACAGTCACTGTTTCTGTCACGGCAATACAGAAGAGTCAATTTAGCCAAATTGGTTTACTCAATGGAGAGGATGGAAAAACATTGTTTGCATGTGTGTGGGAGAGAGAGAGAAACAAGCGGACGAGTGCAGGCACTGGATCAAATAACTTATAGGCCCACTACATCAGAACTGAACTAGCAGAGACTCTGGCTTTGTTTAGACGAAGCATTCATCATTCTGCTGCCAAGTCCCTCAATCTCAGCACAGCAAAACCAAAACGTAGGTTTCACCCTTATTCCAAACATAGTTGTTTGGCCAAGACATGTTTGGTGTCTGAAGTTTGTTTCTTTAGTTTTGCACTGAGGCTAAGAGGCTAATGTAGCTAAAAATGAATGGAAGCCCATGTCACCCAAAATCTTTTGGCCTCATAGCTACAGGGCAAAAGTAAAGAGGCAAATTTCAGGCTGTGTCTTGGACAGTTGATGACATTCGCCTTAAGGGAAAAAAGAGCAAGAATCTGATTTTTCAGTGAACTATTCCTTTAATGTTTTGTTTAAACAAATAAAGAAAAGGTAATGAAGAGCTTAGATCTTTACAAAGTCAGGATCAGTTTGCTGGCCTGAACATTTAAGGTTTGCCTACAATGTCAGGACACTTTTGTGCTGAAAAGGCACAGAAACAAACAGACAAACACAAACACACATTCAGAGAAAACAGAGGACAGGACGCCAGACGGTCGGTCCAGAAAAACCAGCTTCAAGCATTAAACAAATGGCGAGATTTACAGATGCATGGGACCGCTGATGACAGACAGATAAACAAATGAGTGAAAAGATGGAGAGATCACATGGTGAGATAAAGCAAACGAGAGACGCAGAACAGAACAGAAGGACTGTTTAGGAATGGATTATTGACAGACTGTTAGAGCCTGACAGCAGCAACAGTTAACAGTAACAGCACACAGTGGTTTGGTCTCAGATTTGTGTTCAGATTATTAATGTGTCCTTTTTAGATTTCTTCTTGCAATTTTAATACAGCCTATATATTATCAACACTGTTGCCTTAAAAGGTAATTCCACCATTTTTTCAAAATTTGCACAATTCAATCACTGAGATGTAAACAAAGTCGTTCCGGGTGGTTTGATGAGAAAGGCTACATTCTAGAGAAACTTACAGAGTCTGAATTGTTCACAGTGCTGGTGATAGGAACCAGACGTCTGAAGAGTTTAATGACTCTGAAAGCTCCCTCACAGAAAGTTATTACATGAAATGGTTCTGCATAAGCTGCCTGATGCCTTATTTTAATTATTTAATTATTTAAAACTGTAACAATGTTTACAAACAACCTTAAATGCATTTATTTCATGGACTATCAACAAGATAGTTAGGTAAATTAGGTATGATAGGGTTAAACTCGCACTCAACACACACACTTCAGTTGTCCTGAACAAAAAGCAGTGCACACATTGTCTCTCATTGAGGCTCCTGCTGGGTGCTCACATAGACTGTAAGGCCCTCACATAGACACACATGCACACTCACACACATTCCTCACTCAATCTGAGCAGCACCAGCTGCACCCACTCCACCCTTTCCTGGGGACAGTTGCTGTAGCAACAATTACTATGTCAGCCATTCTGGGGTGTGTGTGTACACTAATACCCCCTCTGAAGGATTACGGTTGGTATTCCACCTGTCTCTCTGCTGAGTGCGTGTTCATTCAGTTCAGGCCCTCTTATAAGAAACCCTTTAACAACTAGGTGGTCCAAAGTTTAAAGCAGTGTAACCTTTGACCTCCAATGACTTGATGATTGACCCTTTTGACCTAGACACACATACTGTGCCAAAGTAAAAGACCATCCTTCATTTATGTAATTTCCAGTCAAAACAGCCATGAAGCAGAAAATATGTAACTAAATATAATATCAAAATTTTCAGTATTTAATATGTTCACTCTTTGCATATATAACAGCTTCCATTCTTTTTGGGACACTGGCTTTCAGTTTTTAAAGAAACCTGATGGGATATTTTTACACACCTCCAAAGTTCGGTCTTTCACACTAGCTGTATTTTCTGCTTCCAAGTCAACCCAAACACATTCAGTGATTTTGAGGTCTGGAGTCTGGGGTGGTCAGTCCATTGTTCTGAGAAGAGCAGCAGCCTCTTTGTTTGATTTGCAGATGTTCTTCATTTTTGTCTATTTCTCTGTTTGCTTGACTAAGTAATGTCTTCTTGACAGCTACACATCCTTTCAGACTCATAGCGTTGAGTTGTCTTCTCACAGTGAAATGATGGACAAAAAGACTTGCGGATGTTTTCAGATCTGAAGCAAGAGTGGAGCTTGATTTTGAGAAGAGAGATGTTAGGAGTCCCATTTTCTCTACATCTTTTTATCATTTTTTGAACTTCAGTTTTGGAAATTCCTGTTTTTCTTTTCCACTTATTTTTCTCTGACCTCTTCCTCATGCACGCGGATTCTGTGTAATCCCCTCAGAAATATCTCCTAAAAATGAATAACTTGTACACTTAGAGGCTTATTTAAACCGGAAATTAAATAAAGGAGGAATTCTTTCATTCATGCATCTGTCCATCCATTCATCCACCCACATACTCTGAAAAAGAGGTAGAGCCACCAACATTCCGTGCCAGTCTGACTGGGTATGTATGTCTTGGTGTCCATCATTTTAGGGGCAGCTGAGGATATATTTAACCTCACAGTTTGCTGTGTGTGTTTGTGTGTGAACATTAGATTACCTTAGTCATGGGAGAGGTTGAAGTTGGAATATGTGATTAGAGCAAATGTGTGGCGTGTGATACGGCTAAGGACATTCTTGGATCAGCAAACACGCACACAGACAAGCTCTCAACCTCACATATATTTAGTTTCCAGGTCGCTAAAAAAGAAAATATTTTGTTGATTGTGATAGTGTTTGGCATGCCATTCGGGGGACTACCTCGCTCTTTCTCTCTTGTTTTCAGTGAAAAAAAACATCAACTGTGCCATTGTCTTTGAGGATGCAAGAACAATTTGCATTTAACAAAAAATATATGCATGTAGGAAGTTACGTTTACTCAGTTATATGCTCTGAAGTAAAACATCAGATGGATTTGCACTTCTCTGAGCAACATAAACATTTCCTCAGTGGCATACCACCAGGCTTTCAGTTCAGGTCATAAATGTCAAAACACTATCTTTATGATATCACTAATCGTTGCTAGTTATACTATATACTAATCTGATATATTAGGCCTTCGGTTCTGCTCCTGAAATCCTGACCAATGGGAGAGCTCTTTTGGCTGTATCTACCTAGATACCAGAGAAAATCCTAAATAGATCATTTTCCATTGGCTATTTGAAGAATTTAACCGTTGTGTTTCCAACCAAAGCTTGAAACAATGAAATTAAAAAAACGCAGAGTTTAAATACATGAAGCATGATGATTACAGTTCATAAAAAATAACAAATAATTACAGGCAATTGTTTTTTAATTTACCGCAATTCTCTGAAGGCCTGTAAGGCCCTGAGGGTTCCCCACTGCTTTTACTTAAGTATATTTGTGAAGAAAGTAATCTACTTTTTACTCAATTCACTTTGGGTTTCATTTTATTCTGTTCTATTGTTTCAGCTGGAGTGCTTTGCTGTTGCTCACACTCCTCACTATCAAGATTTATCATTTAATCCCAAAAAGAGAAGAATAGCCTTAATAAACCTTGTTTATGTTCCTATTCTAACAAAATGCTGGATGTACTAAGACATTCCACTGCTGTTTTTGCCTCTACTTGAGTCATTATTTCATTGAAGTGAAATACTTTTACTTCAGTAAGGGTTTAGGCTATTCTCCCCATTGTGTGTCGGCATGTACAAGATGTCTCAAAGCAACTCTGTTTCGCTCTGTGACAAATTAATCTCTCCAGAGAGCAAAGCTGAATGAGTGACAGCAACACACAGTAACATCCGATCGGCAGTTTCATCCACTATCGGTCAGCTATGTCTTCTGCTGGGATAAAATTACTACCCCCAAAAGACAAGGACAAAGACAAAGACAGGTTTTTGGCAGAATTCAGGCCATATAATGGTCTGGAAATGGGAGTGTTAGGCTTGACTGTGTGTGTGGGTGTGTGAAAGTGCGAGAGGGTATATGTTTTCCTATGTGGTGTATAGGTTGCCTCTGAATGGGCAGCCCTGTCTGGGGCAGCGTTCCCCTGAGGAAGAGTTTCTCTGTCGCGCCATTGGGGAGCGGAGAAAAACGGGACACACTTCCTGTGGAAATGGGGTTATCACTTCCCCAATTACAGCCCAATTAGAGAGAAGAGGTCTGGAGATTAGCACTGAGAAACACACATACATTCACACACACAGGTCTGTTTTTATACCTTGTCACAGCGTGGAGTAATTTGTCTGTCCCATATGTACAAGTTAGGGTTAATACAGTATAATAATTCAGTAAAAAGTAATAAGAAGTTCTCAATTTCAAAAAATCTTTGTTAAATTCCATCACCAGCATGCCTGATTTAACTTATCGAAGCACCAGTTAAGCCAAAACAGGTGTTGGATGTTAACTACAAATAATATTGGGCAACCTAAAGGAGAGATTTACTGTCCAGATAAATAGCTTTTTAAATATAATTTTCTCAAGCAACTACGACTTTTGCACATTACTCTATATGTAATAATTATGGCATTTAGAGCACACATTCTATTTATTTGCTTGGAAAAACTGAAACATAAAATCTAAAATTCACTATAACTTTTGCACAGGCTGCATTTGTTATATTTTTCCTAATATGTTACATTCAGATTCAAATTAAACACAAAAAAACACACAAAAACAAATACATTCATATAAATCACAGATAGATTCTAATATTCTATGCAAACACCTCTCATAAGAACACACACCAACCAAAAACACAGCAGTCATAAACACACCACCAGCGTCTGGATTTCCTCAGCTGTTACTCACACACACCTACTCACTATGACCTACAACCTTTCCTGAATACAAGCATACATCATAATTATACCCTGCCACACACACACACACACACACACACAGTCCATCTATTATATTAACTTTTCCTGCCTGTCATATCCCTCTACAGCCTCAATATCTTTCCATCGACTCATTCGCATCAGCAACATCACTATTGCCCTCGTCTCATTCCTTTGATGCCACACTCCATTATAGCGCTGCCTGGGGCTGCAGAGATGACTCCTGCTGTTGAGCTTCCAGAACCTAATCTACCACACTGTCAGTAAATTGACAGTGTTGGCTGGCTGGCTCTTTTCCCAGTTGCTTTGTCACATACCAGCAAACCGTCCATCTGTTGGGCAGCACATTGGAGCTCAATTCAAAAAGCAACTGAGTAATTTAAGTCTATTATTGACAGAAACAAGGTCAGTCTATTAAAAATTGTCATCTGATGAATCAAATACATGTCCTAACATATCCACACACCTCTTCGAAAGAGTGAGTTCAGCTACTTTAAAGTGCATTCGTTGCTGATATAGGTGTTCAACAGCACACATGCCTTGTGTAATTTCCGCAGAAGAGTGCTGGCAATAGAAAGGGATGCTTTGAAACTAAGGTCACCATGCCCAGTGCCAAGCGATAGCGAGATGGGTATGAATCTTTCCAGCAATTGGCTGTGGATCAGCAGAACTGTGCTCTCTGGAATGAATGAGGATCATCCAATAGCTTTGGCATTAGTGATCCAGAACTAATCATTCAACATCAGTACTCTAACAGTGCTCTCGTGGCTGAATGCAATCAAATCCTCACAGCAATGTTCCAACATCTAGTGTAAAGCCTTCCCAAAAGAGTAGAGACTTTTACTGCAGCAAAGAGGGGACAAAATCACTATCAATACCCCTGATTTAATCAGAAATCACCAACCAATAATCTAAATGAGCCACTGTTAAAGCTTCAACTCTCCTTAGACAAATTCAGAAAAACTTAGACAGCGCCAACATCAGTGTGAGTGGTTTCAGCATGTGCATGTGTGTGGCTTGGCAAAAACTAACAGATGTAATATATCAATGTGGAAATCATGCCAAAATGTTATAATCATTAGTCTCAGTCACACCACACATTCCACATTCCAGTTCAGATTCATACACATGCAAACAGGCACTTTGGGTGAAAGAGAGGGATCATTAAGTAATTAAGAATTTGAGGTTAGAAGTTTGAGAATGTCTGTACTGATGAAGTAATCAATCTTTTATTTGAACACACACACACACACACGCGCGCACACACAAACACACACACACACACACACACACACACACTGAACAATGGGAAAATGCTCTTTATATATACACCTTGAACAGACACTGCCTATCGCTCGGTGCCTCAGGCCACAACATTTCACATTCTGGTCGCTAAAAATGCAGAGCCTGTGGCCTGAGTGGCCAATTGCCTTGGACATTCTTTATGCTCTTTTTCCCTTTTTGGTCGGACATGGAACTAATTGCACCAAATCAGATGTTGGAGTTTAACTTTAACCACTGCAATAGCTATTGACTGGAGTTTGCTAATATCACTTAATGAAATAAGATCTTAAATAAAATGACATATTAAATAAGTTGACTATGATTAAAGTAGCTAAACAGCACTTAATCACATAACCTAGATCGGGTGATGTCAGGATGGACCAGCTTGGCAGGGGATCACCACAATGGCAATATTCTTAATAATTCAGTTTTTAATAGTAACACCAGGCTGTTTTTTTGGTAATGGTAAATATATATATATATATATATATATATATATATATATATATATATATATACATAAACTTGTTTCTATTTTTCTAGAAACAAATCATTTTCATTTCATTTCTTTAATTTTGGCCACAAGATTTACTTGATGTCCAAAAATGTACTGGATATATAGATATATGTTTCTGATGGGACAAAACCTTTTACACACTTTGAAAACAGCAACTGTGCTTTTCATAGTGTGAAAAGTTCTCGATGAACTATTTATCTATTTACACCTGAGGAAAAAAATTACTTGTAAAAAGCTATTTATCTGGGCAGTAAGTGTTTATTTGCTCAGAAAACACTAATATTAGAATAAATGTAAATAACAATTAGACGATAGGTGGTAATTATATGTTTGCTCACACGTTTACTTAAGCATTTCCAAACCTTTCCTCAAAGAAATCATGTACTTATCCAACACCTGTTTTGGTCAAGAAATACTGATGATGAAATTTAACAGATTTATATGATGGCTATGGGCATCCAGGAGAAATCTTGAACCACAAGATAACTATTTTATTTTTTTGAAAATCAGACATTTTTGTTACTTTTCAGTGCATTTATACTTATTGTTTTTTTTTTTATATGTTAATGTTCCAAAAATTTACAAGCAATAACACAACTACTACAGATAAATGACTTCAAACACTTTTCTCAGGTGTCTAAGACTGAGAGAGAGAGAGAGAGAGAGAGAGAGAGAGTGAGAGAGAGTGTACATGTGTGATGTATGTGCTGAGATATCATACCTGAGTGTGAGAACTGCAGTCTGGGTTGAGATGGGCTCCATGCTCCCGTTAAAGTAGAAGCCAACAGCAATGCAAAGACACTAGATAACATCCTCCTCATGGCTGTCACACTCACTAGACTCACTTTACACCACACGCAGTCTAAACACAAACACACACTTCACAGCTGACACACACAGATATGTGCAACACGCACACCTCCTGCTGTGTGTGTGTGTTTCTCCACAGTGCAGTGAAATCTAATCCAGCCTGCTTTAATATTCCTGCCACCAGCGTCTCCTCTGAGCCCCCCTCTACTTTTGCTTCCCGTTTGTCCTCCCGCTCCCTCTCTTCTTTCCTTCTGTCCAGCTGTATCACTGGCTCTTCTAGAGTAGAATGAGTGCTGCCTCTCTCTCTCGCTCTCTCTGTCTCTCTCTTACTCATACACCCTCTCTCCTTCTCTCTTATTCTCCTGAACCCTGTTATGTTTTATAGTCAGTTCTCTCTTTGCGGTTGACTTCTTTCTCTCTCTCTCTCTCTTTCTCTTAATGTCTTTTACTCACTCCTCTTCTCCTCTTTAAGCCTTCCCTCTCTCACTTCCACACACTCCTCTGTAAAGAAGGAGGGCTCTATTCCACGCCTCTCTCTCTCTCTCTATCTCCCTCCTCTATGCATTCTTAAAAAAGGGATGAGACAGTTGGTGTGCGCCTTTCATCTCATTCCGCATCGCTCTCTCCCTCTCTCTCTCTCTCTCTCTCTCATTCACTTTGTCTACCACACCCACTCTTTCTCTCTTTCTCTCTGTGATCCTGACTCTTGACTCACTGATTATGTCTCTAAATCCCTTCCTCATTTTCTCTCTACTCTTATCTCAGTTTTACAAGCGCTTGTGAGCTAGGAGCATAGAATAATTCCCTGCCCCAAACTCACTGCACCGAGTTCCAAATTCCACTGAATCTGTTCACCGCTACAGCGAGAGCCCAATCTCAGTCCCTGAGAGAGAGATTAGCAAGAATCAGACCCATAGACAGCTTTACTGTGGATAGGTTGAAAGAGACAATGAGAATCTGGTAGGGAAAGAGAATTAGAGTTGTTGGTACACCCAGCTATGGATTAAACCTAATATTAAAGGGCCCATATCACAAAAAACCCTTTATTTTTATGAAATAAAGTTTGATGTCCTGTATAAACAAGGTTTAAAACATACCATTGACTACCCAGTCCATTCAGTCTACACTTGAAAATTGAGCTGCAAGAGTAGTGCGCTGGGAATTCATTATTTTTGTGATGTCACATTTACATGCAGTTGATCCCAAAATAGGCCTGTCACAATTGAATGAAATCTTAGCTCACCATTGATTACCATATAAATAAATGCAATTAACATTTAAACTGCCTTTTTGTTAATCGTATGCAACTATCAAATTACAAACACAAGCTGCCCAAATCTTGCTACCAACCTGTCGATACTTAGTAGCTTCCAACCGAAGACAGAAGCAGCCGCTTCCTCTGGTGACCTCTGAACATGTTATATCACTGAGTCGGAAGTTAGAACACTCATTGTTTTCATAAGACCCATGACGGGTCTCAGTACATGTGCTTTCTGCTTTCCTTTATCTGTTTGCCTGAATCCAACTGAAAAACACCAAATCAGATTCTGTTTTTTGAGACATGAATATATTGTGAAAGCTAACAACTGGGGAAAGTAATTGTGGTCAGTTTAAATAACTGCAATCAGCTCAAATAATTGCAATCAGCCAATTACTTAATAATTGTGACAGGCTTACCAGCCAATTCACATTAAAGTTATAAGGAGTGTTTCAGTATTTCAACAATACAAGGCAGCCAATCAAAACAAAGATTACTTACATATTTCAGTCATAAAGGTACAGTGACATAAAACATCCAGCTTAATTCTAAGAGGTCATATAAAAATGAATTATGACTGTTTTTGGTATATAAACATGAGCCCTGTAGGCCAAAAATAGGCCTGTCCTATCAATATGGTGTCACTGTTCAAAATGTGCTTTGAACTGAACTGAATCTGTGTCTCTGGGCAGTTTAGTGTAAACCACTGGAGTGGTTTAGACCAGCTCAGAGACAGCAATGGTGCACGCCAAAGGGATAGTATTGACAAAAACAAACATTTTAGAGAGAGAGAGAGAGAGAGAGAGAGAGAGAGAGAGAGAGAGAGAGAGAGAGCTCATTAATGTGAATCAGAGAGACAGACTGAGAGACAATAATAACTACAGCCCTGTGAAACTCACGGTAATGCACAAGAGCCTGACAGCCAAGACCACATCGCCCTCTAGTGGAACTGGAACATAGCACGAAACAGCATGCACGTAGGTCAGGCTGTTTGGCATCATTAGGGTCTTTTTAATGACATGTACATTGGTAATCTAGAGATCTTAGAAACCTTGAAACCCTGGAATCTTTGTGTTTGTGTGTGTGTGTGTGTGTTTGGAAGGGTCCATTAACTGTTGAATTTGTTAAGAACAGGTGATAACAGTAATATATGAATAGTAATATATGCCATGTATATACATATATAATATAATGAATGGACCAAAAGAAATGGCCCAAAATTACTTGGAAAAAGGTCTGGTTCCATTGACTTATTGAAAGTAAAGTATTTTTTTTTCCTTCTCCTGTAAAGTTACCATTTTGGAGATACAAGGTTTTGATCCAATATGATATATATATATATATATATATATATATATATATATATATATATATATATATATATATATATAGAAAAACATCAGCTGCTTATAAATGAATTCTACATGTGATGATGTCTCCAGTATTTTCCCCTTAAACTGCCCAAACAAACACAAACAAAAGCCAATGAGTTTTCTAGTCTGTCTTCTTGTCCAGAAATGACTCTGTCCAAAATATGGCTAACAGTGGTTTCTATGTCGTGTCATTGTATTGTGTCTTTGGTTCATGCTCACCTCAACTCCACAGCTAATCCTGTCCTTTTAGCCATCCTGTTTCTTTTTTCACTGATAACAACAGAGCAAATGACAATTACAAACTGTAAAATGATTATTTTTCAAATGTAATGTGGAGTGAACTTACAACGGTGTAATTTATCCTCTGTCCAGTATGATGCACTGATATCCTCCACAATGTTATGGTTCACTTTATTTAGTGGAAGCCAGCTACTGTCAAAGTAAATACTGCCTTTATTTGATTAATGGTCTAAAAATGAGATTGATGATCAGTGGATTAGTTTTAGCAGAGGAGGTCTGGTAATGTAATCTCTGTGTGATTTGACCAGCTGATTCATACGGGGCTCAAGTGACCTTTTAGTACACGGTTAGCCACAGCTGAAGTGTTCTCTGAGCATGCCAAAGTGCTTCTCTGAGTCTTATATTTGCTCTGTTGTTATCAGTCAAGAAGAAACAGGAGGATGGCAATAGGGACAAGATGAGCTAATGTGGTGGTGAGGACAGCACAAACCACAATGACATTAGTCTAGATATCACATAGAAACCATTGTGTAAATTACCCCAGATCGAAACATCATCATGCAGACACTTACATCAGCATTTGCTGCCAAAAATAAACCCCAAAACGTGACACTGGACGTCCATTATCAACAGCAATTCGAGATAATGGAACATAATCATACTGTGTGCTTTTGGTGAAGTGCCATGAAAGTGAAACCCAGAAAATGCTGCCCAACAAGACAGAAAACACACTTGTGAGAGGTACTTTCGCAATATTTCATACTCCTTCACCTTGTCATTCAACCATCACCAAAAATGGATTTTAGTACCCTGTTGACAAAATTTGTCTGGCCCACTTGGGGGCCAAATCCTTGGGAATGTTCTGGCCGAGTATATAGCTGGATCCTCAGCCCACATCTGGCCCACGCACTGCAAAGTGAGTAGAACCAAAGTCTTTATAGGAAAGTTTGTTCACTCGATGGCCAACCACTGGGCAGCTGTTTCCAGCCATACAAGACCAGATTTGAGTGGTGTCGGAAACAGGGTATTACCGGTTTTCCCACTTGTGCTTCTATTAGATCTTTGTGCTTTTCAATACAGCAAGGAAAAAGCAGGATATGTTTTCTCTGGACCTCCATGCATTCATTCTCTGAGTAGTGAGCGTGTCTAACAATTAGCACCCCAAGAGAGTGAAGTTGTATTTACTAGCTAACCGTCTGGTATATACAACCTTCTGAATACCCAATATACTCAAAACCTATCAAATTACTGCTTCAAAAACATATTTGAAATCACTGTTAAAATTTGACAAAACCTTCATAAATAGTTTGTATCGTTTGGCTCAATAACACACAAAAAATGTGTTTTTTCATTTGTTCTGGCTACTGCACTTGCACATATCTCCACAACGAGGGGGGCTTTCAGCAAGGTGACTGGCTCTTTTTCTAGAACCACATGACTTGCTCCGTGAACAGACACCATTTTCTTATTCATATTTCAGCCAGTGACCTGTCTCTTCCTTTATACTGTTTCTGAAGAACTAATGTCTTCATCAGTTCACAGCAGAATTGGCCCACAAACATAGAGACGAGGCCAAACCATATGCAGCTCTATGGCAACTGACCCTGTTCTGGCCTGCATGCCTAACATCTGCCTGGCAGTCAACCAGCACACGCATAAAAAATCCACAATTGGCCCAAAACTGTCTGTGCAGTCTTGTCATGAACATGAGAATTAATGAATGGGGTAAAGTCAAGCTCCATTTTAGCTGTTAGCCTTCAGATTGCAAAAAAAAAAGGAGGTGCTGTTTCCTATTACTCAGTTTTGTTATTACATTACTGTGATGGTGATCCGAACAGGACAATTAATATTACTTACATTATTAGTTAGCAGACTTGTTAAAAACAATGCAAACACATTGCAAATGCTCAGTCCTTATGTACAAACTCACCATGCGTTCTTACGTTACTGTGGTGGTTAAAATACTCAGCACTGAAGGGGGCGAAAGAAAACAAATCAGATAGGGATCTACTGTTATTTCAAAAGCCTCAACAGCTAAACATGGACAGTAGAGTGAGCTGCTTTACCTTTTCTGTTGGAACGGAAAGGCAATAACGTATCATATTTTTAAGTTTATGTAAGACATTTTTGCGTGCGATTGCTAGAGGGCGCTCCCGAGCGACCCAAAAATGAATGGGTTAATATTTGAGGAATTTGAGCAAAATCATAGTTTATAAAGGCTTAAACAATTTTAAAATAAAATAATATGTTCATTGCCTAAAAACAGAACAGCATAAACCATTTTAACACGGCTGTCATATTTTTAAGAGCTTTTAAACTCGAGTTTAAAACAGCACCTCATATATACCCATGACGTCAGTGAGCACGAACAGCCAATGAGCTGCTCCACTCACCAACCAATCCGCACTCAGTAGTAGGACTCGCTTGTGGGAAAGTCCAAGCTCCTCATAAACCGGCTCTGGAGAAAACCGCACGCTGGGGGTACAAGACTGCTTGCACAGGCTTGGCCGTGGTTATAGTGCCCCTTGTAACACTCAGGTGCTTGCACTGCATTATGAAATGCATCGTGACACATTTTTTAATGCAACTACGAGCAAAACCCTGTCTGTGTAGCTCGAAGCGTCTGTGTTCACGTCCTTGCGTGAAGTATGTTTCTTTCCTTATTATTAGTGCTGGGTCTTTAGTTTGAGCCATACATGTAATCAAAAATGAGAAAAACATCTATAGAGTAATACAAATTTCTCCTAGCACTGCCATGGGATTCCAGTAGCATGTTAACGCTAAGCTAACAGCAATTTGCATGTTTTTTGGCTATTCTAGACTAAACATTTGAAGCTTGTGACAGACATGTTAACATATATTTTACCTTTGCATGTTGTGACTCTTTTAGTAAAGATCCATGACATAGAGCTGCTGCTGTTTTCCATTTCTAACAACTAACATTAAATGAATAATGACTTCCGCCACAGCCGGTCAAGCCAGGCCACTTCCTGTTTCTCCCCTTATATTGATACTGCCTTCAAGTCCTCCTCGGAAGTTCCTACTTACTACTTACGAGGTCGTAAGTATAACCTGATTTGTGTTCAAGTGGTTTTGGTTGGAAATAAAATAGATACACTCGAAATAATGTTTTTAGTTTGCTCTTTTTCTGTCGTTGAAGAGAGTCTGTGTATTTTGTGTTACTGCAGCAAAGTGAAGAGCAGAGGATGCTTATGAGAAGAGTAATGTTTTTATGCAGGTAGATGGATCACATAACGCTCTTATGTCTGTATTTGCGTGTGCAGTTGGTTTTCGCCTGCAGTGTTAAGGGTGGGGCTGATGAATAACTGAATACAGCCAGTTTACCAGCAGCTATCATTGCTTCATTTTGTTGACACGCCCTCAACTCTGAAACGCTGCACTTATTAAAAAATCCCACTAGTATCCCACTAGTAAATACGACATTGTGTTTCCCACTAGTAAATACGACATTGTGGTGGTGCTTATGTGCGTTCATCATCTCCTAAATTCAACATTTCTGACAGGACGTGAAGGCAGCATAAAAACTTGACTGCAAAACATCAGAGGGCGCCGGCGGGCTAAATGATTTGGAGTGAATGGCCTTAAACAGCTAAAGACACAAAAGTTAAAACAGTTTCTAGTTACTTGTCCAGAACCTTCCTTTAAGGGAAGTAGAAGGGTGTGTTTCACTACAATTAAAAGAATATTTACCTGTATAATTCCTTTTTTCTACAGCAAATGGGTTCTGGGCTGTAGGATGCTAGCATTACTGCTACTGAGTGCTGACAGGTTGGTGAGCTGAGCAGCTCATTGGCTGAGTGAAGCGGTTTGCGCTCAATGACGTCATTAACGTACATAAGGTACCCTTACAAAATCATATAACTCAAAAATATAACAGCAGTGCAAAAATATTTTATGCTGTTCTGTGTTTAGGAATTGAAAACAGTGTTCTATATAAAAATGTTTAAGCATTTACAAACTATGGTTTTGCTCAAATGCTCCATGGCGCTTTCATTTTGTACTTGCTCCAGAGCGCCCTCTAGCGTCTGACAAACCCACACTACATCTATCTCCCAGAGCGACCTGATAAAAGCTTTACAAGTCGGCTAAACAATCCCTTTTAACTGCAGGAAGGTATGTTGGGCTAACCCGTGAGCCACTGTCATTACAGATTCCTCAGGAAGCACAGAGCAGAGCTACAGGTGACATTTAAAAGTGATGGGACAAAATGTGGCATATAATATTAGCCTTTATTATAAAGTGATGGGACACCGCAAAAACGTTGAACAAAAGAGGAGGAGCCTAAAGCCTCAGTGTTGTGTGTTACTGTTTACAGGCAACTCAGTTACAAAAAACAGGTTACTTTTAACATGTTTACAGACCCGCGCATTTCTAGTGTGCTGCGTTCAGCCACCAGGTGTCGCTTTAGGATAAAATAAGGATCAAGCCACTGACAGCCGAGGCAAAAGTTAGACCTGCTCGAGAGAGCTTACTGAAAAGGTGTTAATCATGATCTCAGTTAACTCCAGGCCTTTATCACCTCACATATGAGCTTCATCCATAAATAACAACCTACACAGATATGTGCAGCTTTAGCCAGCGCTAGTACAGGCGCTTATGTTTCAGATAAAGCCATTAGTGTCCATTTGAAATTTTACATTTCCTTTGATCTGTTTATTTCTGAGCTTGCCTGAGCACAAACAGGAAAAAATGTTTAAGACCGATCAAACTATATAGTTAAAAAAGTTAGCTTTTATCACTTATCATATTAAATCATATATTTTTTTTCACTTGAGACCACCAGAAGATCCTAATTTCACTGAGAATAAAATAATTGTGAATAAAAAAAAGAGAAATAAAAAAATAAAATGACGCTCAGAAATCGTACATTATATTTTATTACGCGGCAACTTCAACAGCTCCATATATGCTCCGCATCCTCAAAGACGGTGTGTCTGAGGATCAACAAAAATAGCCCAAATAATTGACCCAATGACAAAGTCTCGCTGTCATGCAAGGAAAATCCGTGACGTTGATGAGAACTCGCGCGCCCCCGATTCTATCAGCTGTCCGTTTGCTCATCTCTCTCTCTCTCTCTCTCTCTCTCTCTCTCTCTCTCTCTCTCTCTCTCTCTCTCTCTTCCCATACACGTGTTCACCTCTCTCCTCTCATTGGTGCAGTCGGAAAACGATGAGCTCATTGGTTAAAAATAGTCTCGCTCTCTGTCGCTAAAAATAGCCGCGTATAAAAGGCCGGAGTTTCGCAGAGGTGCGGCGCACTACACTGCCGGAGCGGAGCGGGGGAAGACTGGAACAGCTGGGGAAAGAGAGAGAGACAAAAAGACAGACAGACAGAATCAGAAGGAGAAAGGCAGAAAGGGCGTTTTCCTCGCTGGCTCTGGCTCGAGAAAGGCCGCCGTTTGGAAGGCCACTCGCTTTTCTCACTGTCCTTGCTGGGTGGGGTTAGCATGACGAGTTTCCTTCCTGAAGTGAACTGAGCCTTTTCCCCCTCTCACTGCTCAGAGCGGCCTGTTGCCACAGTCTGACTAAATCACGCTTTTGTTCACTTCACATTATGGAAGTGAAAGTAAGCAGAGCTGTAGGAGTCTTTCTTACACAGCCTCTTCATACAGGCCGCAGGCCTTCATACTCACAGTCAGAGCTGCTTCCAGAGTCGCAGGCTTAGGTGTGGCTCTACTGCACTTTTTAATATATTTCCACAATTACCAGGATTCAGAGTGGTATAACCATTTTAATTGAGTTTGTTGCTTTATTCTTTCCAGGCCTGACTTCAAAAACGACTGGAACTGCGACTTAAGGAATCTGGAAAACCATTAAGATTGGCTCCACCATGCTCCTCATCAGTCAGTGGATGCTCAATCCTACAGTTTCAAACATCACAAACATCTGAAATATCACATCATATACAAACCAGTTTCCACTACTGACATTTTGGTAGGTATTAATAAAGTAGTACCTATAACGTTGTACATAAAGATTTACTCTAATTGAGTAATTTTTTTATTCCCTTGAGGTCTGCTTATGAAATTTGAAATCATCTACCAGAAACAGCTGCACTTCATTTTTACATGACCATTTTTCAGTCTCTTTATTCCTTAGGTTGCTTGAATCATTGGGCCCTCAAGACTGATCTACATAATCAATCAATCTGTTCTGATTCGCTGCCCTGTTTTGTGCTTCAGTCAAAAAGCAGTCCAGGGTGAAACACTATGTCTTCACACTGATTGGGTAAGGATAAACTGCAGTAGGTTTGATGTATATGCAAATGCATTGGTTTCCACGACATCATGAAAATAATTTATTTAAAACAGTCTATTTTTGCATTTCGCTGCTGTTGGAACAAAACCTCCTATCTCCAAAATGACAACTTCAAAGAGAAGGAAAAAGCATACTTTACTTTTAATGTAAGCCAATGGAACCAGACTTTTTACCAAGTCATTTTGGGCATCATGAAATCATGAAATTTACACACAATGTAAAGGGCAACAGGCATTTTCAAATTATGTCAAAAACTGAAAAAGGACAAAAATGGAGAAAGTTTTGGTCCAACAGCAGCAATATTTGTACTGTGTGAACCAAGAAGTGAAATATTTTGAAATGTTTACAAACTACATGAAAAGATTATATTTTTTAAAAAAGCAAGGGAATGTTTTCCATGTTATGTCCTTTAAAACAAGTTTTTGGTTGATGTTTGTCTATCAATCCATTTATGTATGTAAAATCCATTCATAAAACAAAACAATCAGACCAGTGCTCCTTATAGAAAGTATTTTATTACATAAGATTACCAAGTCTAGTTTACAAATTCCAGTCATGTAATGACCGTGTGTATACATTACTACACACGTGTTCATATGTACATGTATGTATACATATCTACCCCCACCCCTCTATTTCCTTTTTGCTTTCAAACAAGTACGTTTTAAGTCCCAATCTAAAACAACCCATAAAAATGATTCATACATACAGATATTACAAATCACGTTCACATATTCAGCCCTGTTTCATGGTTGTTTAAAAAAAATAATAATAATAGTAATTGGCCAGCAATTGGAAGCTGGGCTGTGCATTCGATTGGCAGCTTTTTGAGTCACATGGCAGAATTTGGCGGGTGGGTGTGGCTTTTAGGATATCACAAAAGTCATCAGGTAAAGCATCATAAAAACAAACGAAGACAAAAGTTCTCTGCATTTCTTAAATACTGATAAAACATTTCCATGACTAAAGGAAAGATTAAAAATAAAATTAATAAAACAAAAACTATGTTCAGAGAGTTTACTCTTTCTTCCAAAGCGTTTGGCGAGTTTGAGGAATGTCCCCAAGGACACACACTTGTTTGCCCCCGTTTGGGGTTTCAGTCCAGTGCTGTGTGTTCACAGCAGAAGGCATCTGCTGTTCTTTTTGCCCCTACGTGCTTGAAGCGCTGCCCTGGTAGCCATTTCAAACACCTCCCGGACACCGTCCTTTGTCTTTGCGGAGCACTCCATGTAGCCAAAAGCTCCAATCCGATTGGCCATGTCCCTCCCTTCCTCAGCTTTCACTGGTTCCTGTTGGATGATCAATGAATAGTGTGATTTATTTCTTGCTGTGATAGTATCGTAGCTCAGTATGATAAAACAAGTATGTAGGCGAGGTGAGGAAAGTATAGAAAAATGGCTAATAAATGAGCACTATATGAGCAAAGTGGATTCCAGGACAGTTAAAAACTAGTCATTCTACTGCTTATGCAAGGTGTATAATCCTGATGGCTAGCTTAGCTGAAAACAAGATCAAACAACTATCACAAATAGTAATAGAGCTTGCCCTTCACCTCCACCACAGCATAAATAAAGTCTGAATGAAAGAATGGACTATGAACTATGCAGGAAGTCTATGAACTCATATGTAGGGGGATTTTCACTGGTAGAAATGAATGTACAGTTAAGTAAAACTGTATGTGAGGTTTACCTGTTTCATCTTAGCCAGCTCTCTACGTGTATGTTCATCATTGCGTAGGTCCTTCTTGTTGCCCACAAGGATAATGGGTACATTTGGGCAGAAGTGTTTGACCTCAGGGGTCCACTTTTCTGGAATGTTTTCTGCACAGACAGAGGACACAGGTTGAAGGTCAGACACGGGTGAGCTTTAACAACCCTTAAGTCATCTGTAGCTATAGTATGTTCATTTATATGATCTTGTTCTACAATTAAGGCAGATAATCCTACTCACATTACATTACTGACGTTTAACAGGTTGGTCACACTGACCGATTGCTTTAAATGGAATGGTTCAATATGCAAGGCAATAATCTAGCTAAACAAGTAAAGAGCATTTTCGACCCAACTGGCTAATATAATATCTTAAATTTTAACCTGGAAGAAAGACAAATGATCTCTTAATAATCTTAAACATCACTGAGACATACACTGACATTGTGATACAGACAGAACTACTGTCAGCAATCATGCTCCAAAGCTGTTTGACATGGGGTTTATCTTTACAACAGAAGAATGAGATCTGAGAGAGACGATAGTTAACATACAGAGAGGACTGACAGTAGATTAGCAGTCTTATCGGGAAAAACAGAAAAGAAAAGCACCTAAACTGTCCGGACTGTCAATAGAGAAGCACATGAGGATGACATCTGTGTCTGGGTAGGACAGGGGCCGCAGCCTATCATAGTCTTCTTGCCCAGCAGTATCCCAAAGGGCCAGTTCCACCTAAAACACAAAGAGTTAGCTCAAATGAATCTGTTGAAACTCCAATTTAAACATACCTGCTCCACATAAACAAATAATTTAAGTGTAACAAGCTGATGTGGCAGCTAAACCTTTACGTCTCTGGCAGCATGTTTTAAAGAAACATTGCAGGGGGGCTGCAATAAGGACGCCATTCTAAATAGGGACACTGAACCAGGGCAGTTTAACTCAAAATAATTCAATATCAAAGAGCTCCAGCAGACAGGAGTGGCTTCATTAGCTAATTAAACTGGGTTTGTGGGTCAGAACACAAAGCCACAGTATCTTAATACTGCAGACATCTCAGCCCACTCCAAGCACATAAATATATTTTTGTACTTTCACCCATCCATTTCCTGTTACCTTGTACTGGATGTACTATGACACTTTGGTGTAGAATTTTTATGATCTTTCAGTTGGACTCATTTACTGACAAGGCAATAAATACATTTCATTATTTCTTTCACTGGTTTACTTCATGTATAAGGTGGGTCAAAGCAGAACACACGTCTCTCGTTTACAACACCCGGAAAAGTGTGAACATTTTACAGCATGATGTCAAGCATCTGTCAGAGGGAGAATGTGTGTACATGATTTACCTGTTTGCCATCCACTTCGATGTCAGCGACATAGTTCTCAAACACAGTGGGTACGTAGACCTCAGGAAACTGGTCTTTACTGAAGACGATAAGCAAACAGGTTTTACCACAAGCTCCGTCTCCCACGATCACCAGCTTCTTACGGATCGCTGCCATGTCTGCAACACACACATACACAAACTGGTTAGAGACACACTTTGCAGCATCAGCTCACTGAGGATAGTTGCTATGGCTACAAACACATACATTCCATTTGTACTTAGATAGATCTACCCTACAGATATCTCATGATGTGTCAATCACACATGCAAGTCTACAGTCACACTGACATCTACCATGAGAACGCTGCACTATAGATCACACGTATGGAAGGTTGCTGTCATACCAACCCAACACATTCTCCTTAAACCAAGATCACAGATAAGGATGAAACTGAAGATCGCAAACTCTATTAAAAGACAGCTCAGTAAAGTTAGACATCACAACTACGTCTTCACTTGTCAGAATGGGCCTCACAGGAAGCCCAGCTGAGGCCTGTGTTACTAACATAAAACTTAAGTCTATTAGCAAGAGCACATCAACATGAACAATGTAGGTTTCACCAATCGAAACTTCTAAATCAATATTGACCCAAGTTGGCACTGTAAATCTAGTATGTTTGAGAACACATATAGACGATGAAAAAAAACAAATACAGCATCTCGAGCAAAACACAAACATTACAGAGTGTATGTAGTTTATGGTTAATATAGAGTCCGCCTTTATAAAACTATGACATTTTACATCTGTGACAGTGTCACAGAGGATCTCTGGCAACAGTACAGCTTAAGTTCATAACTTGTAAATCCTCATTTTCCATACCTAAAAAGCAGCCTTTCCAAAATCAGTATGGTAAACTATTGGACATGTTCTCAGAGGGGTTTCTGAGGAGAAAAAAACTGAATACGTAGTCAGAAACTGGCCAGTGTTTGTTCAAAATGCACTACAGAACAAATCCCTTGTAGTGAGATTAAAAACACAAAGATTTATTTTGACAGAACGTAATGTTGTTATACTCAAACCAGTCGCTACTCACTTCAACACCAGCAGGTCTGTGAGAGAACCTGATAGCTTGAAGGACAGAAGCATGTTTATTCATTTAGCTTCTCTGTATTTAACATACAGAAGGGCTGTCAAAGTCAGACAAGTAATTCTAAGCCGATCATAATTTCTTCCAAACAAGCTGGGTGGGTCTTCGGGCTCCTCCGGCTTAAGATGGCGTCAAGGCAGCAACAGATGGCTGTTCACGCCGCGGAGGATCTGCGCTACGCCGCTAATGAACTCCACAGTGATAAACACAGCGATTCAATAGTGATTCAACGCTGGAAACCGGTTTACGTGGTTTAAGATACTGGCGAATAGCAATCAGTCTGTTCGGTGAGTGGGATCTCACACTGAAACCCCCCACCCCATTGTAACCTTAACTTGGCTCAAGCTTCAGCTTTAGCTAATCTTCCTAGCGTTCAAGTTCGCCTTTGACACTGTTACTGAATTTTCTGCGTTGATAAATTATATTTAAGGTTAAAATATATCTAACTAACCAAATTGGATGTCCTGCTTTGTTCATTACCTGAGCAGAAGCTCCTTTATGTAACGATGGAGGAGTTCCCTGCTTGAAAAAAGTCTATCAGCTGAAAACAGGCGAAGCGTCCTGTACACAGATCTCTGAACACTGAAGTTACAGCCTTCCTTCCTGCTCTGGTACCTCCCTGTAACGTAAAAATACATATATAACAGTCAAGGTCCACTTATATGCCAGCTAAATGCACAAACACTTTACGTTAACGTAACGTTAGCCAGCTAGCTAGCTACATTTTACAGGACTCTAATGTAGAACAGGGAAACGTCCGCCAGGTCACCACAGACAGCTAAGTTAAGGTTTTTAAGTAGCTAATTAAATATACTTAGACAAACCAGTGTTAATTATGTCTATTTTCAGCTGAGCTAAAGTTAAGTCCCAAAAAAAGAGCGCCTAGCCGGCCGGCCGATGAAAGATGGAACAACGTTAAACACGGTTAAGCCTACTTCGGTCAAAATTTGTATCGAGCTAAATGAGCTAAAGCTAGCTAGCCTCAGCCGGCACGGTTGGTTTATACGCTCTAAGTTAATAAGTCCACCCACACAAATCTTTTATTAAAAACAAAAACAAGCTGAATACACATCTCCTCAAAGAATGTAATTATCTATAGTACAACTACGGCCTCGTTCACAATAAACTAGTCAGTGAAGCCCAACAGACAACAATGAAGCTCTTTCTAACAGATTAACGTTCCTTCTGGCGGAAGCTGCGTTAGCCCGCTGCTGCTACTGCGGTCGCTGGAGAAGTCCTGTCTTACAGCGTCTCTGAAATCAGATAAAAAGTGCTACACAGCGCTCGCCGTGATTCAGCTGAGTAGACGGGAAAATTCACTTTAAACACAAATTTGTACCGAAATACAAAAGGTAAAGTTGTCTTACTTGAAGCTCGGGTTGTCTTTCAGTTGTTGTCCAGCGGTTTGTGCTCTAGTCTCTTCTGCCCGATACAATGAGTCGGTGACGAGCACGCGCAGAGGGCGGACACACGCGCAGGGGGAAGGGACGGCGGGCGCGGTCATGAGCCACGCCTGCTCGGGCACGCGGACAGCAGATTACTTTATTTAACCCTTATACACGCCGGACAGCCGTTAGGAGTCACAGCTGGTATTTTTATTGATGGGCAATATGACGATATTGTTCGTTATCGTGACACATTCCGTCACGATATGCTTTTCTGAGCATATCGTGGATAAAAACAGTGAGCGGTAACTTTGTTTCATTACAAAGTCAGCAGTACTGTTTAATTTAATTTACTTAAATTATATTTGTATTTTAAATGTCTAATAAAATCGCTGTGTTCACAGACTTTGTATTTTTTACATGGCACTATTGTTTGTTTGCTCCTATATATTAAGCCTCTGAAAAAAATAAATATTGCGAAAAATAGACCTACTTATCGTGTCATATCGCACATACCTGCATATTGAACACTGATATAAATTGATTTATATGAAACACTGGATATTGATAATGTTAATGTTAATATTGCTAATAAAATTACACACTAATTTGGTTTGGTTGTATCATTAGGGTATGCAACATAAGGGGGGAGGGGGGGTTTTTATAATTGAATTTTATAGTTTCCAGACTTTTTAATCCTCTTAGAGTGCCCTCACCCCAAAGCCTAAAACACTCACTTGCCCATATAAATACAGAGCAGCTAACGGCCCTTCTCTACTGTGGTCAAACGGCTGTGGTGTGCTGTCACTGCGGGAACCTATTGGTATGTTACGGCTCTATTAAGCCGACTCAGACCGTCCCTCCTGTATAGACTATGCCAGATGCCAGTGGCTCCATCTGCTGGACAGAGCGTTACATTACACATCGAAAGCGCGGCAACCAAACAAATGCAGCCCAATGGTGGATGAGCTAATGCTTTTATGTTTGAGAGCTGCGCTGCTTAAAAATGGAACCACTTTTCATTTATCTGTGTTTGGACTGCATGAATTACTGAAATATGGTCGCATCTCTTTACCTCCCTTCACCTTACCGTCCTTAAAAGCAGTTCTGTTAGAAAAGCTTGTCAGTGTAAATGAAAGGCTATTGTCACATTGGCTTCTTCAGTGAAGCCAGTTTTTCCTTTTCACATGTGTAGTACAATAAAACACACACACACACACACACACACACACACACACACACACACACATATATACATATATATGGTTTCAGGAAGTGACTGTAAGCCAGTGAAATAAAATGTGACGTGTGTTAATTAACCATTTCTATGGAATGGAACTCCTGTTTTGATTTTTAATTCACACTGTTTCTTGCTGTTACTGTTTGGCAGTTTTCTTCATGTAATTTTTCTGTCAATATGTTTCATTAAAAAATCACTTATTTTAATGAAGTTACAAAGTTTTTAACATTTTGGTTCTGTGAAGCAAACAATTCGCCATATCCCAATAACGAAATCCTGCAAATTTGATTATAAAGTGAACGGCTGTGATTTGAGGTAATGAAACACAACACTACAACAACACTAGTACTGAGCTTATTAGTTCCTGCTAGAAAAACCAGCATGGACCAGCATGGCTAGTCACCAGCAAAACCAGCAGATGTTGTGTTTTGGATGCTGGTATGCTGGTCAACCAACATGACCATGCTGAGTGACCAGCTAAATCAACATCAGATCAGCTCTAGACTAGCACAGACCAGCATGGTGGTCGGTGCTGTTACCAGCAGGGCTGGTAAATATGTTCACTTCTGAGGACCATTCAGTATCATCATCCCCCACGAGTTTAGTAAAGCTGAGATTAATGACTGGCTCATCAGTTTGGTTTACCAGTCTATTCAGGCTTTAGCAGGACTTAAGTGTGAAGTGGTGCATAAATATTCTAAAAGTATTCTTCTTAAAATTTAAATGACAACTTATTCTGAATACTGCCTTAACAAAAATGCAACATGTACTGAATACAGGTACTTAATTCTGTACTCTAAATATGTATTTCATTACATCCAATCCTGGGAGTGAGTCATCCTTCTTGAGTGACCAGGCAGATTAAAACAGAGACTCCTGTGCATTTGGTAAGTGGCTGTAAAGGTTAAGTGTGAGTTTCTGTTCACAACCAATCTACCTCTGTAGCTGTTTCCACAGTAAAACAGCCTGGTGACCACATTTCCTTGCAAAGCTCATTGGTCGGTGTACACAGTTATGGGCCTGCTTCTGCAAAAGCTTCCTAGCACAAGCGCCATCATAAAAGCTAAAGGCAATGTGACGTTAAACATTCTGTCAAAAAGTTAAGCTAAGTTTAACACCACAACACTTAGGTTCAGGTCAGGTTAAAAAAAAACAAAAAACAAAAATGAAGGTATTTCAACAGCACCATACCTTTGAAGACAAAAGCTACTAAGAATAAACAGTGCTGATAAGAGTGGGCCTCATTCACTAATATCTTACCAAGTTTTTTCTTAAATTTGTTCTTGAGAAAGGTTCTAAGAAAAAGTCTACGCCAGATACATGATGTTTTCTTAAACTTCAGTATTGTTCACACCTTTGTGCTCTTAAGTGTGTGTAGATTCTGTTTTTACCTAAGAACAAATAACAAATAATAAAATACCGGTGAATGTCAGAATCTTCGTGAAAACTTCGTAAGTGGGTTTTAAGAAATGTCTTCTTAAGAATGGTTGGCGAATGAGGCTCCATGTACTTTGTCTATAGGATCAACCCTATAATCATATTTCCATCTAAAATATATATTAGGATACAAAATACAATAACTATCTATATACAGATGGATGACAAATTTAAGGAAAAATCTGAATAGATGAACACAGCGTGTGCACATGCTTCCAGACAGGTCCACTGCCAAAGCAATTAGGCAAGTAAAATACAACCATCTGTGGCATGTAGTGTGAAATGTACGGAAACAAGGAAAGAGCAACTCTTCCTCAGGTGACTGAGAATGTCAATGCAGGACATGGTTTGACTGTCCGCAAGAACAGTCCATTACATAGAGAGGGAGATTATAGTAAAGTTGCAGTGCACAATCCCCTCATGACAAAATGACAACTGGAGAGTTCAGCCACATGAACTATAGGTATAGGTACTGGTCTACAGACATGTGGAAAATGTGGTCAGATGAGTCATCTTTCACCATATTCTTCACAAGTGGGCGATGCATGTGTGGAGTTCACCACACACACAATACAGGCCTGAATGCTTGATACCTACAGTGAGATTTTGCTGTAATGATCACTGTATATCAATACAAAGTTATTCTGATTGACCACCTTTATCTTATAACACATTTGCAGTCTAATTGGAACATACTCTTCCAGTATGGCAATGCCCCTGTCCACAGGGCACGAGGGGTCACTGAATGGTTTGATGAGCATAAAAATTATGCCTTCCACTTCACCAGATCTTGACCCAACTCAACATCTATGGGAAAGCTGTTCTGGTGACTCACAGAGGCCCAACACAATGATCATAATAACACAATTTATGTTGCTTTTCTTTTTCTTCCATATATATCAATCATATATCATTAAAGTGTCATAGAGTGACAAGAGTGCCAACAGGTGACTGCATGTCCACACTACCAGCTAAAATCTCCATGAATTTCCCATTCACGGAAAATTAACAACAGTTTCAGCAGCAAAGGTGATCTCCTTACAGTCTTTTATTGGAGAAAGAAAGAGAATCAAAGAGAGAGGTGGGCTTCTGAGCCACTGAGCGAAGAGATGTTGAGACTCACAACCAGAGAGGGAAAAAGATTAACAGAATGTAATAAAAACCTGAAACAAACAAAAACTATTAGTGAGAAATCCAACCACCTAATAAAAAACCTCTGCAAAATTGACCCACAGTCTTGCCCCTTCATTTCTGAACATCACTGTCAAAAGTATACAGAATGTGTGCTTTATACAAACAGGCCCAAATTCTTTCTATTTTTGCTCTCCCTCTAACACTTGCTCCCAGTGAAACACACACAAATGTCCAACCCAACTTTCCCTGCACACATAACAGTAAGATTTCAAGATCGTGAATGCTGTACTCTTATACAACCCAGAAAATACTTTTATGATGGCTGAAAAACACACAGATCAACACAGAGAATGGACTCCAGAGGTCATACACATCAAAAGTCACATAGAATGTTCTGCTGATTGAGGCTCAGCTTCACACTGTCCATGAAACTATTGTTATTTAGGATATAAAAGTGATTAAACCAACTCTAGGTCATATTTCTTATACTAAAAAGCTTGGTACATATTACCTCAGAAGAGAAATGTGAAATGTAGTGTGTAGCTGAATCGTTGCTGTATTGCTATCCTCAGTTTGAACTACCCAGAATGTCCACTGTACATACTCTCATCTTCATGCATGGTCTCATAGGCCCAAAAGATGGGCGATAGTCATAGAGTTATAGCCTAGAGGTGCATCTTTCTCCAAATGTGTGGTGGCAAGGACCAAAACTGGCATGTTTCTCTCCCACAGATGGTAATGGAAACAGCCTGAAGGCACAAAGCACCACTGACTTGGGAGAATATCTCTGCCATTTCTCATTATAATATCACATGGCTTATTTATTCAGTCCTATTAATTTCATCTCCACTTAAGGCTACTGGACTACTGGTGGCTTTGACTAGTCTTGTTACTAGAAATTCTCTGATCTACACTTCAGGAAAATTGAACTATACCATGCAAGCACAGCAGGGGGCAGTAATACATCAGTATTGGCTTAACATTTGCTCAAAACAAGTGGCAACCTAAAGTAAAACTGTAACTGTAACGTAGAGATGCAGAGAAACTCTATACTGTTACAGTTATACAGTAAGCATAGCTTGCTTAAGCTCACATGGGTGAGCCTAAGAAAGCTATGCTTAAGCTCATCCATCATATACAGATACATCCTCCAAACTGGCATAACTGATATTTGATGCCATGCTTAACGTACTTCAGAAGAGCATAATGTTTAGGTAATGTTGGGCTACTGTGCTAAAATATTTGTATTTTATTAATTTTACTAACTTTTTAACCCTACAGAAATACGTTATATTTCTCCATAATGCTAATCTAGGTGGATGTAGTTCAAATTTCTATATTATTATAAATGTTAAAAGTACTGGAATCAACACCAGCAGGTATGTACATAGAAAAATATTATCCGCTTTGGTCCACAATTCCCACCCTACTGCATCCCCACTAAATTGTGTAGTGTATAATCCAAAATTCTAGAACAGATCTGATGACAAGAAAAGATGCCCCTCTGGTTTATAACTCAATGTTTGAAATCAGTCAACGTTCAAAGTACAAAGAACACAAGGGAATGGCCTGGCAAATGAAAAAACAATGTGGTTTTAACATTTATCGTCTCAGGTATTATGAAATCTGCACATCTCCACCTTTGGCAAACCAGCTCATGTTTTAAAGGATGTTTTCAAATAAAAGGAAGCAGGCTTTTAACCCAAATTATAAGCAAAAAGGACTTTATGTCATTAAATAAAAAAATTAGTCAACTGTCCTGTGTCCTGCTGCTGGGAGGGGAAAGTAAACTAGCAGTTACCCTCAAGCTTTCTAGAGAGCCTGCAGCCCATGTAAAATGTAAGTAATAAGCCCCAGCACAGCTTAAGCATTTATTCGGAAGGAACACCTTCCAGAAACCTTATGCACACATGTACATGTATACAAACACATACATCCATACATATATATACATACACACACACACACACACACACACACAACAGGGAGAGATAAAGATATTCTTGTCTGCCTGTTTGTACATCGCCAAATAAAGAAATAAAAAGGACCTTGAGTGCCATATATATGGATTTTCAGGAAAGTCCAAAGTTCTTTTTATACATTAAGAGCATACAAAGAGCATATTAGTGGATTTGTAGGCTTGTTTGTGTCAGGACAATGTATTTGATTTGACAGATAAAGACCTATGGCGATTCATTGTATTTTTGAGGGTTTGATCATGGCATGTCTACCTGCACATCTTCAGCAGGTACTATGATGGTATCTTAATTTAAATTCTGAGGGTCAACTGTGAGGTTTTTGCACTCATTTATATGCGTGTATGTGTGCGTGTGTGTTAGGAGTGAGCAGGGGCATCTTCAAAGCTTATAATGCTGGACTCCTGCCCTGTGGGATTCTGGGTAGAGCTGGGTACTGGTGGCGAGGGATCACGGGTTGGTAGCAAAGGCGCATCCGTCCGAACTTCATCATCATCGTCATCTTCCTCGTCTTCCATACTGGGCCATGAAGATTGGTCCTCCACTCGCTTTAGACGTTCATTTAGGGCTTTCAATGCCAGTTGCCTGTGGACCAATCACAAATATTATATAATGTGGCAGTGAAATTCAATATTTAGAGCAACCCTAATAGTGCACAACCTTTCATCTTTAAAGGGCCCACATCCTACATTTTCTTGTATTTTTTCCCTGAGGTGCCCTTTAAATATTTGTATGGTTTTAATTTTTAAATAACTGTTTTCCAACCACTCTGATTGACTGTCCTGCATTGTGCTTCATTCATAAAGCATACAGAGCTGAAACAGATTTTCAGTATGAATGGGCAGAGCTAAACTGCTGCAGGCCGAGTAGGCGAATATATGTAAACAAATTGGTTCTCGTGACATCACAGAAAGAATGAATTGAAAACGGGTTGTTTTTGTAGCACTGTTTCCACATTGTACGTTTTATTGATAGTTTTTCACGTAACTTCAAACTCGTTCATTTCAAAAAAGGTAGGGAAATTAGATTTTTCACTACATGGGCCCTTTAATACGCAACCTTGCTCAGGTAGGATTTTAGAATTTCAAGTCTGAATGTCTTCTTACGCTGAGCATTGTGCATCCTTGTAAAACAACTGTTTCTAAAATCTCAACTAAAGAAGGGAAGACAGGGTCAAAGGAAAGATGAAAGGGAGCCGCTTACGGAATCTGGAACTATTGTAATTTATTCCTTTTAAATGCAGTTAAGCCCTTCCAGCTCAACAGAATTCTTAAAGGGGTACACTACCAATTTTTAACAACAGCCTCATTACATTAATAATTAATTTTAACACACAAATTATTTTTATGTAACTATTCTATGATGTGTATGATGAGCAAAAAACATACAATTTCACAGATGCTAACTTAACAAACATAATAAACATGTATAAAGCCTATATTGTGTGTTTAAGGTGCAATTCCATTACATTTTCCTGTCTAGTGCAGCTCTTACCGTCTCCTTTCAGCATCCTGTGGGTCTGTACCAGGCAGGCTGATGGTGATGGAGGATGGTGCTCCAACATCATAGCGCTTCACCATTTTCCGACACACCTTCATCTTGACCAGGGCTGCGTGCACAAGACCAGCAACAAAGCCCACAGCCGGCTGCAGTGCCTCAGGGAAGAAGGAGGCGAAGGCAAAGTGGTCCGACATGTCCCCACGCCCACGGCTGTGTCTCTGGTAGAAGCGCAAGTACACCCATCCTGCTAATGCTCCATAGCCACAGCCTGCTAGTGGCGCTGAGCTGTCCAGTAGCCCAGCTAGCCGCAAGATGGCTAACGCTAGCAGGGCTAGGGCAGGGGCCGCCTTAAGACGAATCTGTGGCACCCTAAGTACTGTCGTATCACCTGAAGTCTGCTTCAGGGCCACCAAAACACCACCCAGAAACGCTGGCGCGCCAAACACATGTACAGCAAACAGATACCTCAAATCGAATGTGGCAGCATAAGTGAGCACATAAGAAAGGCCGGAAAGCAGGCCCGCAGAAATGTTCACTACAGCGAAGAAGATGAGCAGCTCCAGAGCCCCCCACAGAGGCTCCAGCAGTCGCCCAGCAATAATCACCGTTGCAACATTCACTGCCACACCCCATATGTGCTGTTCCACCACAGGGTGGGTCACCAAAGTCCAGATCCAGAAGTTTGGTGGGAAGAGGTAGCCAGGGGTGACGCCGAGCGCAACATGTGTGTCCACGAGCCACGATATGAGGTACAGCAAGAGCACTGTGGCACAGATGGATTTCACCACCACACTGGTGCTGGCCAGAGCAGTCAGAAAGTGCTGCTGCGCCACAGGCAGGTAACGGTTCATGTTTGATGGTTTTGACTCTTCACCTGTCACAAGCTAGAAACCAGCTGAAGAAACAATCCTCAGCAATCAGCGGCTCAGATGCTGTCAGTGTCAACAGGGCCGGGGTGAAACAACGGCAACTTCAATCCTTAACATCCAAAAGCAACATGGCAGCCTCATCCACACCAATGTTGGTGTCCTATGTTGAGAAGAAAAAATAAAACAGAATTACATTTCCACTTTTAACATGCATCAAATGGCTTTAGAATAAAAAGATATGCTGGTTTGGCCCTCTTGATACTGTGGGATGACTGCAGCCTGTACTACATTTGATTACAACACTTAGCCTGCAATAAAATTTAAAGGAAGAAAAGAATTCCACCAATTTCTCAAAATCTCTGCATAATTCACTAGTGACAAGTCACTGAAATGTAAACAACGTCATTCAGAGTGTACTGATGCGAAATGATGCACTGATAAAACATTGATTCTGATTTCTTTACAATCTTTATAAATTCTCTGCTGATAAGAATCAGGGGTCATGATGTCTACAACACAAATATAGGCATTTTTTTTGGCAGGCAGATCACCTACACATGTCTTCTGAGTTTTATATGTACAAAAAATTGTAAAATAATGATAAATCTGAAAAAAATGTGTTTTCTTTGCCTTACAATGCCCTGCATGTACCTATCGACTATAAACAGACAAAAACGTTTAAGGCTAAATGCTTATCTCAGAACTATTATAAAAGATCTCATTCACTAATATCTTCCTAAGTTTTTTTCTTATATTTGTTCTTGGGAAAGGTCCTAGAAATAATCTACATCAGATTCATGATGCATTCTTAAACCACAGAACTGTTTGCACCTTTGTGCTCATGAGTGTGCGTAGATTCTGTTCTTACCTAAGAACAAATCGCAAATAAGAAAACACTGGTGAATGTCAGAATCATTAACACTGTGTAATTGGTTTTTAAGAAAAAATCTTCTTAATAACGGTTGGTGAATGAGGCCCAACGAATCAGGCTTCAGGCAGCACATTTATTACCACTTTGTATTTAAGTGAGTCAGCTTCTAGAAGCATTAAACACTTCAAACGTCTGATTCACATCACCACCACTATGAATGGTTCTGACTTGCTAAGTTTCTCTAGAACGTAGCATTTCACATCAAACCAATACGTACGATTGTGTTTACATCTTGATCATTGTTTCATTTAGTGGAATTCCCATTTAAATCTCAACCAAGCTGGCTAATGAGATACTGCCACCTTGCTACGGCAGATAATTAGATTCAGATCATTTGGTCGTTCTAGTTCAGCCAGTTCAACAATGTCACTACGACTATATCAAAAAAAAAGAACCAAGAATGAATGGTCTCAATTAACATATGGGCTTATTTAACACACCACACAAAAGGTCAACAAGCATAGCTTACTAGCTGTCTCTTAATAACACAAACCATGACACCAGCTAACTTAATTAGCTAACACTCACGAGTGGAGCGGCTAAAGGCTAAAAAGTTGGCGAAGCAGTTGGCTAAGTGTTGCTAACTCTGACTAAACTACTTTGAGAATTCGAATTATTTAATGAATATCAGGGATCCGAACTGGTCACAAAACTCGCAAACAGATTAAACAGATTATCACATTAACGTCATCAGTACATTCCTGGCACTAATCAATCCACTTGTTAATTTGCTACGTTAGCTACCAAGCTAGCTAGCTAGCTAATCGACACTTGTCAAACTGCAAACATTCCAGGAACTTTAACCCTCTGTATGTTTCGCAAGATATTTTTTCCTTATCAATTTGACGAATGTTGAGTTTTAAATCAGTTTTAAGGCTTTACAACCTTTCGCAGGTTAGGTCCTTGCCCTCTTATCGGCAAGATAAAGGGAGGAGAGTCCAACGTTAACACCTCGGCCCAGTGACATGTCCTCTCATCTCGGCCTGGAGTCCACAGGATAGTCCGGGGATCGCCTTTTCCAGCAGGCCTCCAATTAGTGTTTTCCTCAACGCGGAACTCCGTAAACCTCGCAGACGCCGTCCGCTGTACCCGTTCAGCGTATTCACAGTGATATTTACAGTCCTACTTTGTGGATAAATGTCCAGGTTGACGTGTAACAGTAGTGCACTTGTGTAACTCCGAGTCGCTGCCCAGTTAAACCTCCCCTGCGATAAAGCACAAAACGCCAGATTTGCAAACGTCACCATCAACCACCACCAGCGTGACTTTACGGCGGCGCGGCGCGGCGCATAGAATACTGGGAAATGTAGTCACTTCACAGACAATGTAAATGCACATGTAATTATGTGATATGTAATAATTCATATATAGTGTAAATTCACATTAAAAGATTTTTTTAAATGATAGTAACTATTTTAAAAATAGATGTAAAAATATGTGTTCGCTCAGGTATCATATGAACTTCACATACCACACAACGATAAATGTAGTCTGTAGCTGTTTCCTCATAGCACAAACCATGACACTTGCTAACTTACCTGACAGTGAAGAATGGAGGGCTTAAAAAGCTGGCAGAGAAGTAGTTGCTAACTTTGACTGAACCACCCTGATTTTCATTTCTTTATGAATATCAGAAAGCCAAACTAGCCACAACACTTATAGTTAAACAGATTAGCATATTAATCATCGGTGCATTCTTAGCATGAATCAATCTATGTGTTAATTTGCTACATTGCCTACCAAGCTAAGTCAACATGTATCAAACTGCTAATACTCCAGGAGCTTTATATCACGAGTGTATATGATACATGAGAAAACATTTGGAATACATTTGTGGACATGTGCACACATGCATAGGTGGGTGTTATTTACGGGGTCTTTAAACTCTTCACTCTAGTTGAATGTTTTGATGTAAAGATTAGCTTTCATTGCTTACAGCAGTGGTAAAATGAACTTAAAAGTGCTGATTTCTACTATTCACACACACACACACACACACACACACACACACACACACACACACACACACACACACGTAGTGTCTCCAGATCTCACACACACTCAAGTATCTCTCTTTTTCTTTTCATATTCATTAAGATGTTTAATTAGTCTTCCCATCTTCACCTCTCCACTTCCTGCTGTTCCTGATTATGCAGCTATCACTTCATAGATGTGGAGGCCATTAAAATGTTTGTTAAAATGCTCACTGTATCAGGCACTCGCTTACTGCCCTGATGACACAGGCACATTAAAGCTGACTTATTAGCCAAGAAATTAACATTCATTTGTGCTCAATTTTTGTCTAATCAAAGGAAAATGTCAGGCTTCATATCATTAGCTTTCTGCTTCATTTAGGCACACTGGGGTAAATAATAATACACTGATTTAATGGCTGAGTAAAGAGGTCATTTACAGCTGAATGCTAACACTCCTTGTTTCTTAAGATGTTTCTGGAACTTGATACTAGTGTTCTATTTTTGGTGAACAAGTCTGCACTTTCAGTTCATTCTTTTAGGCTGTTCAATCAAAGAAAAGAATCTTAGGCCAAATATCAGTAAAAGCACTGTAAGAAAATAAAAATAATATTTGAAGAAGGGAGAAATTGTTGCAGTTTTGCACAGTTATTTATTTCACATTTCTTTGTATTTTGCCTTTTTTTCTTTATAATGCATTGTGTTCTATATTTATGAGTGCAATTTGCTTTGAATGATTCAAGTGTGGTTATTGTGGCATTTCTTACTTCCAATGCACATGTGTTGCAGTGGCTGTTTTTACATTTATGTAAATGTGTTTATATATGTGTGTATATAATTTACAATTAATTTAAATGTATTCTATAATTCACGCTAACAGTAGCAGCAGTTCAGCTATGGATTTCTCGGCTTTGTTAAGGCTGTGAGATGCTGCTGCGTAAAGCAAATGACGGACAGGGGTGCACCACAGGCAGGGCTAGTGGACACACTAAAGGCTAAACCAAGACTAAAGTTGTCCCAAGAGACCAGGTTCCTTCTATATGTCTCTCTAATGTTGGCTCCCTCAATAAAACCTGGGCTAACATTAACTCAGACTGTAATTGACTACACAGCTGCAGAAGAGGGATTACTGAAAGTAGCATGGCGCAGCCTTTGAGGTAGTGTGCTAACATGTTAGCGTGTTTTACACTGTTTGTATGTTGTGTTATCTGGTGTATTTGTGACATATCCTTGAAACCAATAGCTTAGGAGAAATTCACCCACTATTACTGCCTTTCCATGAAATACTGTTGTTACAGATTTTGCCATGAGCATTTTTACTGCTGCAAGCAATCGAACATGACAAACCAGCTGTAAACACCCCCAGAACGCAATGTGTTTGTATTATGATTGGATCACTCGAACCACATTTGGAGGTGATCAGAGGTGGATCTTGCATTTTCATAATCCACACATGAGCAGAAATGTGTCTGCCTAGTGCTAACTGCCAGGTTAGAGGATAAACAAGGAAATGAAAGAAGGAGGATACACAAAGCTGGAATGTCCCAAACCAAGAGTCTTCTCGCACTCTGGGTGACTCAACTCGACTTGTCAACTTGTATCATAATAGGGGAAAAAGTAAACAAAAGTAAAACAGAAATGGTGCATGTGCTGATGTGGTTTTTAAGCATGAAAGGTAATATCAGATCTCATCTGGTCACACTGGGGACATGTTTTAGTGAAAAGTGTAAATGGAGTCTAATCAAAATATACCCAGATATGATCTGGACATAAAACACATGTTAATGCAAGGTGTAAACAGGCTCTCTGAGCGCGAAAAGAGGCAACTTTTATTAACGGACCCAAATGAGTCAGAATTCGCATCGCTAACACAATCCTGCTAGAAAAACCACCCGAGCATGGCTGGTTATCAGCAAAATCTGCATATGTTGTGTTTTGGAGGCTGGTGTGCTGGGCAACCAGTATGACCATGCTGGGTGACCAGCTAAACCAGCACCAGACCAGCATAAACCAGCTTAAACCACCATGGAATGCATGTCTATGTTTTTTTAAGCAGGGGAAACCAATGCAAAATGATAAGCAGAGAAAGATTTCTACCTTCAGTCGTTTCCCTGGCTCTTGCTTTGCTACAAATCAAAGAGGCTTTTTGCAATCTGAACAGTGGAATTTCGAGCTCCTGCACTATGTGGTAAATTACTGAATGAAAAATACCAAAAGCTATGTTTATATTGAACTTCCAGCAGAATAATAGCTCCACTGGAATGACTCTGTCTGATCTCCTTGTGGACTACTTGTTCCTTTCAAAGGGACTTCAGGACTGAGGGCTATGTATTCCTTTCAAAGGACTACTGTAGGGTTTTCAACCTAATCTCTGCTGCTGTAGTGTATGGCTGACTACCACAGACAATACGTTCCCTGTTGAAGAAAACTCATTGAAGCACCTGCACAGTGGCTTCAATTTTGTGTCAGCTGTTTTCCTGTTCTTTTCTCCAGGAAAGCATGTAAAAATGTGATGTTGTCCGTAAACCACACATGCAGAAGACAGAGATTAGATCAAAATATGCTGGAGTATTCTTTTAACACAAATGTATAATAATGTACAGAAACTTGGTAGGTGTCCAAGTGTTGAGTGAAATAAATATTTTTTTATTCTCAACATCAAAATAAAACCAGAACTCAAATGCCTTAGATCTAATTTTTATTTAGCGTTAACAGTAATTAATGTAGATGTTGCTGCTTGACTAAAATAAAAGAAGGATAATCTCTTAGATCTCTTAAAAAAAGACAGGTTTGTGTGTGTGTGTGTGTGTGTGTATGTGTGTGTGTGTGGGGGGTGAGCATGCCAATCTTCTTGTAAATCTAACCTTGAACTTTGGATGACTTTTTTATGTCGCTGAAGTAAGATCTGGCTACTTCATACTTCTCTCTCTACATCTGTTTTTCTGTTTTCCTTTTCTTTCTCTCTCCTTTCTCTTTCCCTCCCTCCTCTCTCTCTCTCTCTCTCTCTCTCTCTCTCTCTCTCTTCCCTCTCTTTCCTTTTTTCTCTCTCTTTCTATATCTCTCTCTTTCTCTCGCTGTATCTCTCTCTGTCTCTCTTTCATATATATAATATACATATATATGATCTTTTTGTTTCTCTTTCCTCTCTCTCTTTCGCTCTCTGTATCTCTCTCTCTTTTCTGTCTCTCTCTGTCTGCATTTTTCTCTCTGCTCCTCGCTCTGCTACTTTTGTTTCTCTCTGTCCCTGTATCTCTCTCTCTCCTCTGTCTCTCTCTAGCTCCCTTCCTCCCACCCTGCATCTCTGTCTCTCTCTCTCTCTCTCTCTTTCTCTTTTTCTCTCTCCATTTTCTCTCTCACTCTATCTCACTTTATCTGTCTCTCTCTCTCTCTCCTCTCTCTCTCTCTCATGGTCGTCAACATATTCCGTGTATGCAGACGCCCTGCAGGTTTTTATCATTGACTGCATTATGTGTAGCACTAAGGTCTACATTACTTCTCATGCTGTCAAACACAGGGAGCTCAATATCTCAGCAGCAGGCCTGTCATCTACAGCACTGAACTAAAGTCATGTCATAAAGTCATGTACCGTATCTGTGAAATAAAAGCATCACAAGCACTGAGACAGCATGACTGACATGCTGTATTCTCACCGCTTTTTACTGCAGCGCTGGCTTTCAGCTACTTATCGCAGAAACAGATCTCACGCAGCGTACTTTAGTTTTGCAGCGAGCCTCTTTGTTTTGACAGAAATGTTTGTGTGTGTGTTTTGGTGGATCTCACAGATGCACAATAGCTGTGATATTGCCTGTCAAATAATCTCCCCCTCCCTCATTCTTTCATTCCTCTCATTCTCTCTTTCTCTCTCTCATCTAGGGGTGGACAATATTACAATATGCTATCATTTTTATGATAAATTATGTTGCAGTTCCCTGAGTATGTTGTGCTTATTATCAGTTTCTTTAGGAAATGGTGGATGGGGACTTGCAATTGAACTCTTACTCAAGAAATTTCAGCCTGAGAAAAAAACACAAACACAACAGATTGAATGAGGGCTGCCAACTTTAATGTGATAAATGAACAAAACCTTTAGTCTCCATCCTTACATGTGTGAATTTGCAGTGTAACTGCCCTGCAGCTTTCAGTGGCATCAGGTTTGATATGGCTTTAAATAACGAGCCTTTCATTGCAGAAAAACCTTCAGACTGATGGACAGACTGAAGCACTACTTGCAGTAAACGGTTGGCTAGCATGCAGTTTGGATAGCAAGTACGCTAGCTAATCTA